TCTGGTCAGTGAAGGCAGTTAACATGATACTAACCATACAACTCTGATACTGCCCACATGACACATCAATTACTGATACTGACCACATCACACATCAATCTCTGATACTGACCACCTCACACATCAATCTCTGGTACTGAGCCACATCACACATCAATTTCTGATACTGAGCCACCTCACACATCAATTTCTGATACTGACCACACCACAAACTCTGATAGGACTGTAATACAACTGGAACAAGCACCTCAAAAAAAAAAAAAAAAGATATTACAAGGCTACTTAGGCAGCACATTATTTGCTATGTCAATAATTTTCACTTTTTCACTGCTGCGGACCAGGAAAACAGGAGAAACAATTTACTGAAGGCTCTAATGTGCAAACAAAAACAAATGTTGAGAGCATTTGACTGTTGAAATCATGAATAGGTTGACATGTTTGGAGAACCACTAGGACATTTCACATACCAGCACCAGTCTGTGGGCTAGGCTGTAGAACATGGAGCCATCACATACCAGCACCAGTCTGTGGGCTAGGCTGTAGAACATGGAGCCATCACATACCAGCACCAGTCTGAGGCTAGGCTGTAGAACATGGAGCCATCACATACTAGCACCAGTCTGTGGGCTAGGCTGCTGTAGAACATGGAGCCATCACATACCAGCACCAGTCTGTGGGCTAGGCTGTAGAACATGGAGCCATCACATACCAGCACCAGTCTGTGGGCTAGGCTGTAGAACATGGAGCCATCACATACCAGCACCAGTCTGAGGCTAGGCTGTAGAACATACAGCCATCACATACCAGAACTAGTCTAAGGCTAGGCTGTAGAACATGGAGCCATCACATACCTGAATCAGTCTGTGGGCTAGGCTGCTGTAGAACATGGAGCCATGTCACTGTGTTTACATTAAATATAAAATATTTACAACGGATCAAAACAAGATCAGTGGATCACAGCGATGAGGGAGGTATTATAAATGAAAATGAATAAATCAGTAATTAAATATGGTTATAAATGTGAATGTTTGAGGAAAAAAGGGACAACATAATATGCTTGCTAAAGGAAAAATAAATGAAAGGTTTAAATAAGTTTCATGTCTGCAAAAACATTAACTCAAGAATAAAAACAACATGTGAAAACACGAGAATAACATGTTCTTGCCAGGAGTAACTTGCACAAGGTCAAATTATTGTTTCCTGGTTAGTCTCTTTCGGGACATTGACATTTAATGCAAATTACAGAAATAGGGAACATCCTACAAGACTTTCTAAAATTGGTTTGATAAAGAATGAAAATCTGGCAGGAGCAAACTGGCAAGACAAATGGTGGGTGACCAATGAAGGTTTATTTGGCTTGAGTTTCATACCCAAATGAAAGAAGAACTAGTCAGCTAATCAATAAAACAATCATGAAATATAGCATGAGGAATGATATGACTACCTTTAATGACTTAACATTTTGGATTTTTTAAAACCTAATTTAAAAAAAAGCTAAGTAGGTAGTTGTATTATTGCTAATCTTTTTGTTTGCTGATAAAGGCTTTCTAGCCACAATGTTCATTTAATCTTTAATCTTCTTCTTCTCTTGTTCATTGTTCACCGGCTGTAAGCTCCTGTGGAAATTCCTGGTGGTTTATCCATTTGGACTTTGGCTTTGTGCCAGGCTTGAGTTTTGTGTGTACATCTATTTTGCTGACTTATTTGTGTGCAGTTGGTTGTTCCTGGCCGCATGTGCAGATGCACTCCAACTTTTGAGGAAGACCCCAATTAGTCAACTCCTAGGACATGCTTGATGGGGAGGCAGTGGGTCTATTCTTATATCCCCCACAGTGGGGTCGCTGAACCCACACAGGGCATAATCTTTCATGATTGTTTTGTATTTGATAGCTTGGAGTTCAGCAAACTAAGATAAGCATCAAAGTTGATTGGTGTGAGTGTCTAGCACCTAGTGTCTTGCTAGCCAAGATTGTTCAATCACAAGTATACATAACATTAACTATGTTGCCCTGGGAAGCTGGAAAACTGACACTTAAGTTGGGTCAAATTTCCCACAAATGTCACTTTTCTTTTCTGACTTGTTTACACAATGCATAGTTAACACTATCAGCTGTATTTACCCAAATGTTTCAGAGCTAATGATATGGATACATTAGCTAAAAACAGAAAAGGGGTGAGGAGTGAGGCGAGGGTTATTTAAGCTAAACAGATTTTTAAAACCCATGCCGACATCACATTTTTTCTGTAAGCATCAGCGGTGGAAGTCACGGCTGAGTCACCCGATACATATGTTTTTTTTTTGTGCTTAGGCTCAAGGAAATGTATTCTATTTAAAGCTACACCCTGTTCATGACTTCTTCTTCTTCTTTCGTTTGCCTAAACTAAATTGTCTATATCCGTAATTTTGTCTCTTGAGTAAATTTCACTGTCGTTGTTAGTTCATTCAGTGGTCCATAGAGTTTACGTTCCATTGTTGTTCTTTCTGGCTAAAAGGTTTGCTTTAATGTGTCAAATTCAGTGCAGTCCTGGAGTACATGCTCTGCTGTCTGGGGCATCTTTTCACAGGTGTACATGGCTGATACACCTATCTTGAATTTTGTGTACATGTGGTTAGGTAATCAGTTGTGCCCTGTTCTGAGGCAGAGGATAATGACTTGTTCTGATCTGTCCATAATAAAATAGTCATCTTCTGCTGGGACTGGTGGTTTCCTGATCGATTTCATGATTCTTTTCTTTTGGTGGTATGTGACTGGTACATCCGGCTGCACTTCTGTCGCACCTTCCCCTGCCGGTTGATCAGCCTTCTCATTTCCAGGCACTCCACAATATGTGCTGGGGCAAGTGGCCACAGACTGCGTTGCAAGTGTTGTACAACAGAACTAACTGCTGACTGCCCAGAAAGCAATGGAAAACTACAGAAAGTAAACTGCCTAGTAAAATCACAAACAGCCCAAAAAAATGCCAGGTTATATGCAACTAATTTAATCACTGTTAAGCACTTTTTCATATTAGCAGTTAGAAAATCAGATATATGGACTATGACATATAGTCTGCACTATTTTTACTTGAATACATAAACTATTTTCTTCTGTACGTATGCCTGGAAAGTTGATATTCCACGAACAAAATTGCCTGAAAAGGATATTCATCTCCCCCAAACCGGTTTAAAAATTATGTTAAAAATGTACTTAGGAGCTAAAGAAGCACAAAAATGCACAGTAAACTATATTTTTAGAAACAAAACACAAGAGTAAATAAGAGCAATTACAAAAATAACAAAACCTATCAAACAACAAGATGCAGACATTAAAGATTATGCTTTCAAAATTCCTTAACATTAGTGACCAGACAGACAAGACATAACTTGAGCTAATCAACATCAAGGGATATAACAAGAATGAGATTATATTTTAAATGCAGTTACCTTGCATATAAACATTTTACAATAATAAAAAAAAATATATGTCTTAAGATAACTGTTATATTTTTAAAAATAACGTACTGCATATGCGCATACATTTTATCTGTCGTATAATTACTTGTAATTATTACATATTTATAACCAAGTTATGAGCTAAGAACTGACATTGCTGAACTCTGGACATTCCCATAAGCGCACCATCCCTATCTTCGAGCACACAGTTCCAATTCTGATGGTACCAGTAACAGTCTGGTTGTATGTTTGTCTTGTTCCTCCCCTGAGTGTTGAACTTTGTAATGAAAGTGCTTACTGCTGACCAATGAAAGTGCTTACTACTGACCAATGAAAGTGCTTACTGCTGACCAATGAAAGTGCTTACTGCTGACCAATGAAAGTGCTTACTGCTGACCAATGAAAGTGCTTACTGCTGACCAATGAAAGTGCTTACTGCTGACCAATGAAAGTGCTTACTGCTGACCAATATCTTGCAAAGAAAAAGGAATCAGAAGTACTGAAGTAATGTGATTAATCCTTCAAATGAAGCAAAAATCTACACAACAATTAATCATTTTATTTCAATTACAGGGACCAAGTTCCATTTCGACTAACAGGTCTAAGTCAAACAGGCCATAAGTCAAATAGGTCTAAGTCAAGAAGGTGACAGGAGCAGCTGGCCGAGTGGTTAGGGCAGAGGGCTTTCATGTGCAAGACCTGAGTCTGAACCTCAATAAGTGATGGAAATTGTTTGTGTCAAAGGACAAATAACAATTCTAACCTGCACAGAGGGTGTGACTGCACTAGTACTGAGGCCCCTAAATCCTCAGTCTCTCTGTCCTGCATAGAGAGTGTGACTGCACTAGTACTGAGGCCCCTAAATCCTCAAGCTCACAGCCTCCCTGTCCTGCACAGATGGTGTGACTGCACTAGCACTGAGGCCCCTAAATCCTCAAGCTCACAGCCTCCCTGTCCTGCACAGATGGTGTGACTGCACTAGCACTGAGGTCCCAAAATCCTCAAGCTCACAGCCTCCCTGTCCTGCACAGATGGTGTGACTGCACTAGTACTGAGGCCCCTAAATCCTCAAGCTCACAGCCTCCCTGTCCTGCACAGATGGTGTGACTGCACTAGTACTGAGGCCCCTAAATCCTCAAGCTCACAGCCTTCCTGTCCTGCACAGATGGTGTGACTACACTAGCACTGAGGCCCCTAAATCCTCAAGCTCACAGCCTCCTTGTCCTGCACAGCGAACAATACAGGCTGTATATTGTCTCTCCATTATATGAGTTTGTGCTTAGCTGGACTGCAGTACAAACAAAATACATTTAACAGCACATTTATGCAACTGGTAAATAAAAACATACCAAGTTACAATTGCACTACAATTTGCTAAGTTTCTCTATACAAATACAAACATATGCCAATTATATAGGCTCAGCTCAAAGTTGTCAGTAAAATTCAAACACAGAAAAGTATACGTATTGTTCTGCATGAATTAAATAGATTTATTATGTTGCAATACTCAGATCGTAATAATTCACAAGCTTGGCTACAATAAAATAAAACACAGGAATGGTTTTGGTTATTTCCGTGTGCTGAGTTCACTGAAGCATGACTCACAAACTCTAGCTGGCTTTTTTATTGTGGGAACTTGAGCTGTTCTACTAGAGCATTCATTGCAGAAGATGAGGCCGCAGTTACGACAGTGGTGCTGTAAAAAAAATATAATTCAAATATCAGATATGCGGGACATAAAAGTAAATCCCCATCTCCTATTGAGGGCAATCAGCATTTTGTGTGGGGTTAGAATCACATCTTCCTTCTTCTTCTCTACCTTTCAATGACAGGTTTTTAAGGGGCACCGGGCACTAGCCTTGGTTTGTCTATGTAGATGCTGGTATTTATGGCCTCAGATTTTCCATCTATCCATCGCTTGTGTAGTCAACCTCTAGTCTGCTTCCATTATGTCTAAGTGACAGGGCTCTCTGTGGCGCACTATCTGCTGGTTCTGACCATCACATTGGCCAGATTTATTTCTCAGCAATTATTTCCTGGCACCCACTTAAAACAGGGTAAACCTGGAAGTCCAGGTCAATTAGAGTTTTGCTTCATGAGGAACTGAACAAATGAGCACTGGATTGGCACAGCTGGATGTCTAGATAAATTAAAACAGGTCTCCTTAATGTGCAAGTGAATAGCTACTAGCACTGAACCAGCAGGCAGGCTTGTCGGCCACCACACTAATGCAGTTCTCATGGTCAGTAATCCAACATCTCCTGGTGAAATCCCACATCAAGATATTTTATATTAAAGGACAAGAGCCGGTATTTTCAACATGGTATGGCCGTAGACCACATCAAGATAAGGAGTCATTCACCATTTTAGGCAGCAATGTAGATTTTAAAAAAAAATGGGGGAACTGATAGAGATATTAAAGTACAAATACAAAAAGTAAGATTAGTTTTCAACGCGCTAGGATACCTGTGAAAGTCAACAATTAAAACTAGTATCAAAAACTTAAAATATTTAGCTCTAATATCAAATCAGCAGTGTTGTAGTAAGCGAAAACATAGAGAACAACTAAAACATCACAAACTACATCATCATCATCATGTAGCAGGTCCTTTGCAGAACGTCACTTTCATCACAGTCTGCCTGAAAGAAACTTGGTCTCTCGCCAGTTCTCCCGCCTCATGCACTTTCATACTCAAGGAGTCACTTATATCCTGTGCCCATCTTCGTGTCGGTCGGCCCCTGCCTCTCCTTCCTGGTACCATGCCTTCTGCTATAATTTTTTCCAATCCGTTGTGGCGCTTGATATGACCAAAATATTTCAACTTTTGAGAAAAGATGCTGTTTATTAGCCAATCTTCCTTGATGTTCAGATCTTCTAAGATGTCAATATTTCTCATCTTCTTTGTCCAAGATATTCTGAGAATCTTTCTATAGCATTTCAGCTCAAAAGCCCCTATTCTCTTTCTTAAGGACTGAGAGATAGTCCACGGCTCACATCCGTATGTAGCCACAGGGAAGATGCATGCTCTCGAAATTCTAATTTTTATCTCCTTGCTGGTGCTTAATTATAGACTTTTAAGGCTGTTCAATTACAAACTACAAGCATTCAATAATTGATGCCTGCACAGAATGAGGAAATTAAATGGTCTAATAAGAATTTGTTTTGACGAGCTTTTGGATGGAACTAACACATTTGAGTGAATCATGAGGTGAAGAAAAGATGCTGGTGTTGGATATGACGCACAATAAGAAAATGTTATAACTAGAATGTCTCTACAATGGAACCAATGGTGTAAAATAATAAAGGCAGCACCCCCCCCCCCCTTCCCCCCACGACCAAAAAAAAAAACACCCCAGATGGAGAAGGGAAGCAGAGAGCAAAGTAAAAATGACAGGTTTGAACTATGTGACAGCAAGACAGGACAAACAGTTTGGCATGAGCTGGTTGAGGACCTATGCTACAATGAGGAATCAGAAGTGAACACATATCAATAATATGCAACAGCTTAGACAATTTTGTGTAAACATGATATAATGCTTTCTGCAAGCAAGGTAACCAGCAAGTATAGAAAAGTAGTCAGTACCCACCTTTCTGACTGTGACTGAGAAAACTTTGCCACATGATGTGCACTCAGTAACTTCATCATCCTCTGCCCATTTGCGAGCCTGTACTTTAGTTGTGGTAATCTGGGGACAGTGGGATTGTATGGTGTTATGTAATCTCTACCACGTATGAGATGGAATCCACAGTCTGTTGTTTTAATCAACGAATGACATATAACCAATTATGCTGCATTTTTGTTCTCTTTCTGAATTTACTGGCTGTGAATCCCAACAGAAAATCCTGGTTGTTTGTCCATGGTTGGCCTTTGGTCTAGTCCTGCCTTGACGATACATGCACTTCCATTTGTGTTGCCAAATGCTGGTTCCTCACACCTCAGGCAGATGTGCTCATTCTTTGAAGAAAGCATCAATCCCATCTCTGTCGGTCAGGCCCCTGTTAGGAAATCTAGGATGACCACTAAGCGGTGTGGATAGGTCTTGATCAGTTTGTGCCTTGGTGATGATTCACCACCTTAGTATCCTTATGCTGCAAGATTTGTAAAGTCTGTGGTCCAGTGCATATGATGTTGAAAGGTACTTCCAATGAGTTATCCTTAGTCTAAAGTTTTGTGTAGGCTATTCAACATTCAGATAGGCAGATACTATACCTCTGTGCATGAGGTGTCACCCAGTTTAGTGGAGGGAAGAAGGCACCATCCATCTCCTCTTGGTAGACTTCACCCTCCCTCACTACTCATTGTCTCAGGGCTACAGGTTGGTCTCTCTTACTCTAGTCCCTGCCCATCAACTTTGAGACACCTTTCTATCATCTGATTACAGTTGTGATATGGAAAAGCAACAATATAGTTAAAGAGATAAATGTAGTCAGTAACTCATGACTTGACTGCTTCCATTAGAATCAGCACGGCAACGCTGATCAAGACTTTCCAAATGGTGGTTCTAAAAATTAGTATACTTTACTATTAGACTGGCTTGGAGACAGGACACCGAAAAAGGAAAGAAAAACCTTTATCCTAAAACTGCTGTGTGGAAGTTGGACACTATTTAAATAAGGGTGTATTACATAAATCAGAAGGTCTTAAGATATATACCATCCACTGGTTTTTCTTTAGGTTCTGGGGTCCCACTTCTGGAAGGAAAAAAGTCTCAACTTCCATATACTATATATGTTTGCATGTGCATGAGTGCGTGTGCATGCATGCATGCATGTGGGGTGGGGTTGGGTTGTGGGTGGGGGGAGGGGGAGTTGGAGGAAAAATCCAATACATCAGTTAATGATGAGAGTACAGGGAGAAATGCAAATATTGCACTAACAGCCACACTAACAAGAAAACAGGTAGCTGACCACGCTGCAGATATATTTGCTGAATGCCAGCCCAAAGAAACAGTGACAGGCTCGAGAGAATCAACAACATACAAGACAAAACAATATAATTTCTGAGGCACTGGTGGCAGCACTTATGTCTAGCAAGCTAGAGCTAACAATTTCAAAGCTGAAAATGGGAAAGTAACCTGAAATTTATGAAATAACCAATGAAATTATCAAGAACCTTGGGAGCAACACCCAAGCTAAAGATGGTACAGATCTTCAATCACTGTTGGACTAGTGGCAAAGTTCCCCAGATACTTAGAAGCAATCATTGTTGGACTAGTGGCAAAGTTCCCCAGATACTTAGAAGCAATCATGATACATTTTAAACCAGGAAAGGACAGTTCCCATACTCCAGTTACAGACCAGTCAGCTGTCTCTGTAAATCAATGGAACACACTGTCAACCTTAGACTCCAATGGTACTTGGAAACTGAAAACATCTTCATGCCGCTGCAGGCCGGCTTTAGCCAGTGCTACTCCACAGAAGATCCGACAACTGACCTTTGGCAAGACATTGAGGATGCCTTCCAGGAAAAGAAGCTGGTGCTAGCGGCATGGAAAGACCTGAATAAAGCCTTTGATAAGTTAACAAGGTCTGGAAAGAAGGTCTCATGAAGAAACTGAGAAACTAAAAATTTAATAGGAATACCTACAAATGGGTGAAAGCATACTTGTTTAACAGAAGAATCTGAGTACAGATAGATGGACTCAACAGCAAGAAAGTTTTGCTGCATATGGTGTCCCTCACACTTTTTATAGTCTATATCAATGACCTAGTTTGTGTACTACCACATGGAATGAAAGCTGCAATGTAAGCTGATGACTTGGTACTATGGTGCACAAATAAATATGCAACAGTGGCAAAGAGTCAAAGATGCAATGGCTGCATAGGCTTATAAATGGTGTGTCAGCATCAACATAGGCAAATGTAGTACCATCCTCTTCACCCTCTCTTCAAAACAAAAAACAGGCATCATTCACATAAGTGGAGTACCTCGGAGAGAGGATAAGCAGCCCAAATACCTCTGAGTCATGCTTGATGACAGGTCAACATGGAGAAAACACATCAACAAGAGCAACAAAAGTCAGAAGAAAGATAGCTATCCTGAGAAAACTACGTAGAACCTCGTAGGGCACTAGTAGGAAAATTTATCAACAAAGTGTTTGACAACACCTTGAATACAGATCAACACCATGATCAGCAACAAAATCCATACTATAAGAGTTAAATAAAGTACAAAATAAAGCACTCAGAGTCATAGCAAGCAGTATGAAATCAACACCTATAGCTGTGATGGAGAAAATGGGGATGACCCAAGCACTGAGTGAACGCAGAGACACCAAGATGCAAATAAAAGCAAAACAGTTTCTTAGCATGCCTAGACACCCTGTGAATGAAAGATTCCAAAATCTAGCTATGGGGCGAATAAAGAAAAGGAGTTTCATCCACCAGGCCAAACGGCTCTGCAGACAAACCACAGATCTGCCTGCAACTGATAGCCCCTTAAATGCTGTCCCATAACGGACCCACTGGAGAGAGGAGTATAAGTTTCCAAAACACAAGACAGAAGTGAAAGGAGTATTTGAAAAGGAAGAACGTGGCGCGGTGATTTCGGTCACAGGCATGAGGCAAAGTTAAGTCTGATGTGAGGTGTATAAGGAGATACTCCGTACCCCACTCGGGCGCCAGTCCTTCACTGTATTGGTTTTACGGAACCTCATGCAAGACTCCTGCTGCACGTCCCCGTCGTGCGCCACGGATAATGTCTCAAATGAGCATTAACAGAGATGGCAGGGGATCTCGGAGCTGGCGGCCCCTAGAGGTGTAGTGTCCTTTCTGGCTCTCACCAGCCTGCCCCCAAACACATGGGTGAAAAGCCTAACAAAACTCAAAGATTGCTTGCTAAATGTACCATCAAATGACAACTCTTGGTTAAAATTCGGGAGTGAATGGAAAACTGTGCTGCTGAGACTCAACCCTGACCGAGAGATTTACCCGCAGCCAAGACGAGTAACTTCTCTTGTGGGTGACTTCTCGCAGCGAGATCCTACCTACGTCCATCCTCAATCCTCAGTGTCGTCGTCACCGCGCTGAGGTACACCACGGCAGCAACTTTTCATATGCTGGCTTGGAAATAATGTCCGACAAAGTTATACCCCACGGCACACATGCAAGCTCAGAGTCCGACGATCATAATTCGTACCGATTAGGAAAAAGTCCGAATGTTCGTATCCACTGGTCCAACTCGCCCGAGTGTTGGAACCAAACAGGTGAAGCCATGCCTGACGCATTTTGCTTCCCCATTCTGTCGTGCTAAGGGCACAGCTGAAACAACGTTGACGGTGTCTAACGTAAGATGAAAAAAGAATGTACCTATTTGTGTGGCCACAAACGTCTTAGACCTGCGGGCTGCTCCCCGCTGAACTCCGGAGAGCGCAGCCTTGTAGCGCGGGAAGCTCAATACAACGGTTGTGAGGTTAAGCGGTCATGGGCAGGACGTGACGATTCCTTGGGTGAGCCCAGAACCAGAGCATCATGTGTCGGCTCTGCATTTATGGAAGCCTCCTTGGATGGTGGGGAATGCCCATGATCTGCCCCTGCCTACCCTTGAGGGCTGACAATTCTACATAGAGCTGCCTTAAGGACAACATTCCGGGGGCTACACCTGTTAATGGTCAAAGAGGACACCACACAAATGAGGCAACATCTCGACCCACACAAAACAATGGCCACAGTCAACCTAGAAATAGGCTTGACGTCTTCCCTCGAAGTCGGAGTACATCTGCCGGAGAGGCGGGGAACGAGAACTGCAAACAAATAAGCCAGTAAAACGGATGTACATGCAAAACTCAGGTCAAGGTAAAAGCCAAAAGTCCATTTTGGACGAACAACCGCGACTTACCGCCGGAATTCACAGCCGGTGAACAAGAAGAAGAAGAAGAAGAAAAGGAAGAACAAAACAGTGTGCAGCGTAAAACAGCCATCCTCAGTCTACTTGATGATGAATACTTGCAAAATCTTTGGGGTCACACAGATGGGTCAGCATAAAATGCAATCAGAAATGGAAGAGCAGGAATGTACACTGAGCATATTATTAATACCAGATATACATCCAAAATACCAACAGGAAAGCACTGTCACAACTCAAATAAAAGACCACACCCTTCAAGACTGTTCCAGATACAATGTTTCCAGACAAAACACCTGGTCAAGACAGACACTGGTGGAAGCCAAAACTTTATGGGCTGCTAAGTGAATTATAAAAGACTGAAGTTTATACTAGAAACAGCACTGCAGATATAGATAACTTATTTCAAGCGAATGAAAGAAGAAGAAGAATATTTACTCATCGCCCCAACCAACCTGCAATGTCTGGTTTTCACGACCTAGTTCTTGAAGGGCAGCCTGCATATCTTCAAGCTTCCGTCTCTGTTCTGCTGCTTTCTCTCTTAATTTTTCACATTCCTTCTCACTTGTAACACACCTGTAGATCAGTTGTATACACACAGTGTTAGTAACAGCATCTTCTTCAAGACAACATATAGTGTGACAAATATTTATTATACGTAACCAAGGAGCCAATTGCGGGCAACAAATACCTGAAGAAAATATATTATATGTGGGAAAGTAGTCTGACAAATATTGAATACAAACATGGTATGTAGGAAAATTCTTTTCTTCTACCCTCACAATCCATTATTTTATCAATTCACACAAGAGTTGACAGCCCCATATGACAAAGTTTTTTCAAAAGAATTCTAATTTTAGTTTACTTTCTCTTTTGTGAAAGCATGTAAACAATATGGTTTTTGGACTATGACTTGGAGCCAACTGTCTTTGGCAACTTACCTCCCCGTGTGGGTTCCTTACCTCCCCGTGTGGGCACCTTACCTCCCCGTGTGGGCACCTTACCTCCCCGTGTGGGCGCCTTCCCTCCCCGTGTGGGCACCTTACCTCCCCGTGTGGGCACCTTACCTCCTCATGTGGGTACCTTACCTCCCCGTGTGGGCACCTTACCTCCCCGTGTGGGCACCTTACCTCTCTGTGGGCGCCTTACCTCCCTGTGGGCACCTTACCTCCCCGTGTGGGCACCTTACCTCCCCGTGTGGGCACCTTACCTCCCCGTGTGGGCGCCTTGCCTCCCCGTGTGGGCGCCTTGCCTCCCAGTGTGGGCACCTTCCCTCCCTGTTTGTTTGTTTGTTTGTTTGTTTTAGTATCCAGAAGCCATGAGTTGATAACCCTCCCGCAACCTTTCGGGGATTCCATTGTACCTACCGTAAATCTGGGAGAAAATGTGGCTTTCCTGCCTACCCCCGGGATTGAACCCGGACCACAAGGAGTACGTCACCCGGTCTCCGCGAAATCCGGTTTAGCCAATTCCGCTAGAGAGCCGGGCTTCCCACCCTGTGTGGGCACCTTACCTCACCGTGTGGGCACCTTACCTCCCCAAATGGGCACCTTCCCTCCCCGTGTGGGTTCCTTACCTCCCTGTGTGGGTCATTACCTCCCTGTGTGGGCACTTTACCTCCCCGTGTGGGTTCCCTACCTCCCCGTGTGGGTACCTTACCTCCCCAAGTGGGCACCTTCCCTCCCCGTGTGGGTTCCTTACCTCCCCCTGTGGGTACCTTACCTCCCCGTGTGGGCACCTTACCTCCTCATGTGGGTACCTTCCCTCCCCGTGTGGGCACCTTACCTCTCTGTGGGCGCCTTACCTCCCTGTGGGCACCTTACCTCCCTGTGTGGGCACCTTACCTCTCCGTGTGGGCACCTTACCTCCCCGTGTGGGCACATTACCTCCCTATGTGGGCACATTACCTCCCCGTGTGGGCACCTTACCTCCCATGTAAGAAAGAACAAACCTACCATGTCTCTAACAAGTATGTTGCAGAAAGTGACTAATTAATAGTTTGCTGACATCAGATGTGTTGAGCTAAAAGCGCAGTTATTTTCACATCTTAGCTGTAAACAACAAAACAACCTGTGTGTGAACACAGAAGGGCTAATGCAGAAGAAAAGGAGGGGGCGGTGCCTTAACTGCTAAAGCATAGTCAAGCTGAATGAAAGAGGCTTTGAATCAAAGAGATTTTAAAACAAAAATTCATCATTAACCATATGATTCCCAGAATTGAAATGTCTCACTCTCACAAACACATACACTGATGTACCAACCTTTCTACCAAGATTCTTCTTTCATCATTATTATGCTCTAGTTTTGCCTCTAGCTCTGCAACATAAACACACAAAATATATAAATTAAACAAGAAAAAAAAAAAGTTAAAAAAACCATGTTAAGTAAAAGTAACCAGTAAAACATGTGTGATAAGTTGACTAGGACTGAAAGAGTTAACTAACAGTTGTTCTAAACACAATTAACTAAAATAAAACTATCTAGTAATGGAAAAATTAACACTTCATTCTGTACTTAAGTAAAAACACTAACCGAGCTTCTCTCCTTGCAACTGATCATTGAACCGGGTCAGCTCATCTACTTTGTCCTCAGCTATGGTCAGCTCAGACCTCAGTGTGGTCAGATTCTCACTCAAAAGGGAAGACTGCATCTCAGACCTTGCCTCCGCTTCATCCTTCTCCTTCTGCAGGGCTTCAAATGCTGATAACTGGGCCGCCTAAAGTAAGATTCAGCAAACTGTTAAACAACTAACAAATTCTGCCATATAGTTTTACAACAGTTCAAGAAAATACATGACAATAAAACACAATTTCCATTGTTATATTCATTGTGAGGAGATCAGTTATACACCATACAACCCGGTGTAATATAAAAGAGCATTAAATGTTTGAGTAAATTCTCCTGGTTAAGTGGTTAAGCGTATGGATAGCCAAGGGGGATGTTACGCTCACTTTCAACCATCTTTCTTACCACATGATTTATTTAATGAAGTTATGTTGAAGTTCTTCATTAAAAAAAAAAAAAACAATAAATAAACCCCAAATTTGTTTTGCAGAGAAGAAATTACGAAAATACTAACCAGTTTTTCTAAACTAAGAAGTCTGTTCTAAAAGAAGAAAAATAACCTAACAGGTGTATTTTGAAGAGAAGAATTAATAAATGAACTAAAAAGGTCATTCATAGAAAAGAAATAACAAATAACCTAACCAGTTTATTCTCTAAACTTTTATTAAATTAACTAACCAACTTGCTCTAAAGGGACAAATGAACACAGCAACTCACCGGTACATTATGTAGAGAAGTAACAAATGAACACAGCAACTCACCGGTACATTATGTAGAGAAGTAACAAATGAACACAGCAACTCACCGGTACATTATGTAGAGAAGTAACAAATGAACACAGCAACTCACCAGTACATTATGTAGAGAAGTAACAAATGAACACAGCAACTCACCAGTACATTATGTAGAGAAGTAACAAATGAACACAGCAACACCACCGGTACATTATGTAGAGAAGTAACAAATGAACACAGCAACTCACGGTACATTATGTAGAGAAGTAACAAATGAACACAGCAAACTCACCAGTACATTATGTAGAGAAGTAACAAATGAAACACAGCAACTCACCGGTACATTATGTAGAGAAGTAACAAATGAACACAGCAACTCACCGGGTACATTATGTAGAGAAGTAACAAATGGAACACAGCAACTCACCAGTACATTATGTAGAGAAGTAACAAATGAACACAGCAACTCACCAGTACATTATGTAGAGAAGTAACAAATGAACACAGCAACTCACCAGTACATTATGTAGAGAAGTAACAAATGAACACAGCAACTCACCAGTACATTATGTAGAGAAGTAACAAATGAACACAGCAACTCACCAGTACATTATGTAGAGAAGTGGTAACAAATGAACACAGCAACTCACCAGTACATTATGTAGAGAAGTGGTAACAAATCAAATAACTAAACTTTTCCTGACAGAGTAGTAAGAGTAAACAAATATCTTTTTCTCAGTGTTCACCAGCTGTTAACTTCAGCAGAAAGTCCGGGTTGTTTATCCATTTCTGGACTGTGATCTTGTTCCAGACTTGAGTTTTTCATGCACAACAGTTTAACAGATGTGCATTATTTGTGTGCAGACAACTGGTTCTTCACCTCAGACAGATCCCCTCTAACTTTGAAGAAACACTTCTAAATAAATGCCTTTGATCCCCGTGTGGGTTCCAGGCCCCGCTGTGGGAGGGGGGGGGGGGGGGAACTAGAGCAAACCCACTGCCTCCCCACCAAGCATGTTGTAAGAGTCGACTAATTAGGGGCTTCCTTCAAAGTCGGAGAATGCATCTGCCTGAGAGGCAAGGAACCAACAATCTGCGAGACTAAAAGGTCCCACAATTAGACAATCCAACCAGCTGGAGCTTAACCCTGGTCACAACACCCACCACAGATAAACAGGTGAGACTTAATGGACACACAATTAAATCCACACCCCCACATAAATAGAGATAATGACCACACGAGACTAATGAACCCAGATTTAAATCCACACCACCACCTTTAACCTGAGAGCTTAGTCAAACGCGACTTTCCTGTGTACACAGAAATTAACAGAATTTGATTTGGGCAAGAAACTTTTCAAACAACAACCACATCACTACAGCAGTAAATCCACAATTTAACCCACCACCACATATAGTGTTATAGAAGACCCACAATTATCCACACCAGTCTAGTGAGACTAATGACCCACAATTTAAATCCACACACTCACCACAGATAAACAGGACTTGTTCAAGACTAAGAACAATTTAAAATCCACATTCATCCACAGAGCTAACCAAGAGAGTGAGACTAATGACTCTTCGGCTTGCAAATCCACACCCACCACAATAACCAGAGGATGAATACTCACACCCACTTTAAATCAGCAATTTAGCAGCCTAACCCAGCAGATTAATGACCCACAACAAATCCACACCCACCACAGATAAGAGCAAGTTAAAACTGAGGAAACAACAATTTAAATCCACACACACTACAGGTAACTAGTGTGAGACGAATGACCCACAATTTAAATCCACACTCACCACAGGTAACTAGAGTGAGACTAATGACCCACAATTTAAATCCACACCCACCACAGATAAACAGAGTGAGACTAATGACCCACAATTTAAATCCACACCCACCACAGATAACCAGAGTGAGACTAATGACACACAATTTAAATCCACACCCACCACAGATAACCAGAGTGAGACTAATGACACACAATTTAAATCCACACCCACCACAGATAACCAGAGACTAATGACCCACAATTTAAATCCACACCCACCACAGATAACCAGAGATTAATGACACACAATTTAAATCCACACCCACCACAGATAACCAGAGTGAGACTAATGACCCACAATTTAAATCCACACCCACCACAGATAACCAGAGTGAGACTAATGACCCACAATTTAAATCCACACCCACCACAGATAACCAGAGTGAGACTAATTTAAATCCACACCCACCACAGATAACCAGAGATCCACAATTTAAATCCACACCCACCACAGATAACCAGAGACTAATGACCCACAATTTAAATCCACACCCACCACAGATAACCAGAGACTAATGACCCACAATTTAAATCCACACCCACCACAGATAACCAGAGTGAGACTAATGACACACAATTTAAATCCACACCCACCACAGATAACCAGAGTGAGACTAATGACACACAATTTAAATCCACACTCACCACAGATAACCAGAGTGAGACTAATGACATACAATTTAAATGACACCCACACAGATAAATCCACAATTTAAATCCACCCACCACAGATACCAGAGAGACTAATGACCCACAATTTAAATCCACCACAGATAACCAGAGTAAGACTAATGACCCACAATTTAAATCCACACCCACCACAGATAACCAGAGATTAATGACCCACAATTTAAATCCACACCCACCACAGATAACCAGAGATTAATGACCCACAATTTAAATCCACACCCACCACAGATAACCAGAGATTAATGACCACACAATTTAAATCCACACCCACCACAGATAACCAGAGATTAATGACCCACAATTTAAATCCACACCCACCACAGATAACCAGAGTGAGACTAATGACACACAATTTAAATCCACAACCACCACAGATAACCAGAGTGAGACTAATGACACACAATTTAAATCCACACTCACCACAGATAACCAGAGTGAGACTAATGACATACAATTCAAATCCACACCCACCACAGATAACCAGAGTGAGACTAATGACCCACAATTTAAATCCACACCCACCACAGATACCCAGAGATTAATGACACACAATTTAAATCCACACTCACCACAGATAACCAGAGTGAGACTAATGACACACAATTTAAATCCACACTCACCACAGATAACCAGAGATTAATGACACACAATTTAAATCCACACTCACCACAGATAACCAGAGTGAGACTAATGACACACAATTTAAATCCACACCCTCCACAGATACCCAGAGATTAATGACCCGTAATGTCAGAATAAATAAATAAATGAAGCTATCATATCTATTTTACTGTGGCATCACAATCTTCAGCAAATAATATGGATTACTGTGCACTGATTATGGGGCCCATGCCCCACATTGTGGGGGGGGGGGGGGCAATTTGAAAATGGACTCGTCCAGAGTTTAAGTTACATATGAGATAGGGAGCAAAAGAACTTTTAGAAATGCTTAGATGGGGCATGGCACGGGAAAGGTTGGCAAACTCAGATATAGACTCTCACCTTCTTCCTCTCTTGTTGTTCTTGTTCCAGAAGTCCTCTGAATCTTGCAGCTTCATTTTTGAACTCTTCTCTTGTAGCATTAGACTCCTCCAGGTCTGTCTTTAGTGTTTCCAATTGAGCCTGTAGGTCATTCTGTTGAGTCAGGTTGACATCAAGCATTATTGTAATGAAAGCAACATCCCACTGATGTGTAGACTGAAGCTTGAACACTTTGCTGATCAGCAATCCGGTGCACTACTGACTCTACTTCCAAGGATGTTTGGGATTTTGTTTTCAAAATTACTGGTTTTCTAATAAAACTAATTAAAAAATGAAAAATGAGCGTAGGGTTTTAAAACCTTCAGAGCAGCATTATAAATGGTTGCTACACATGAAAAAAAAATATATATTATGCAAATATTTCAAATTATCATGGTGGCCATATTTGAATTTGTTTGGCTATTTACAGAAATTTCAGAAGATGATTTAAAACCATAATCTTTTCCCAGTTTTGAGTGAATTTGTTCAATGTCAGTGCAATAAAATGATGAGGACATGGCTGGCGTTGAATAAAATAAGCTCAAAAGGAGCACTTGTTTAATGACTGACCAAATATTCAACATTAACAGCTTATAAAAAATGTGAATAAAGTTATAAAAAAAAAATGTGTTTACTGATTTTATCTGGCATGTTACAATGAACATTTACAAATGCTTGATTACAAAGGACCTCTAGTTGAAGTCTGAGCTACTTCCTTCATTAACTGGAGTTGAAGCTGTAGTTGTAGAACTCCACAAGAGTCTTTGTCAGAAATGCTGATAGCCCTCACCCATGTTGTATAGCTTGAACAGGGTATCAAACATAGAGATGTATTGCTATCTGGCAGTACATGCAAGTCTGGCTAATTTTACCTGCAGCCTTACACACTTTACAGTCTGGTTTGTACCCTGACTTTTCATATTTTTCCATAAAACGGTGCTCAGTAAGTCGTGATTTTGTTACTTGTGGTCCTGAAGATGTTACAATGTCCCAAAGAACAACATGTCTAATAAGAGCAAGACTGACATCCTGTCTGAATCTCTTTACTGTGATCTTATTCGTAGAGTTGGCAGTGTTGTAGCTTATATTTCCATTGACCAGAGCAGTTTCAACTATTTAAAAAAAAAACCAATTATGTAATGGCAGATACCATTTATAGAATCTGTGTGGTTAGAGGTAGCTTGCACCTAGCTGGCCGAAGTGACCCACATCCCCCTTACTTTTGTTGTATTTTCTGCAAAAATTGGCGTGTTTATTACTTTGCTCTCAGGAATTCCGCTTTTCCTGTCTTGTCCATAACAACACTAGAGTAAACAGCAGAAATCAGGTTAACTCTCAGTGTCACGCCACATAACAGCCAACATGCCTTCATCTTGTCACCCAAATCACTGGAGGATCTGCCTCTTTCAGTTTCAACTGTTTTGTCTTCAAATATTCAATCAGCATATACACAACTGTGTCTGAGATGGCACCTTGTTGTTCTTCCTATGGAAGGAGATTTTCAAGCTTAAAAATTCTGTTTGAGCAGCCTTTTTCCATTTCCAAACAACATCTTCAGCAGTAGAAATGTTTTGGTCTTTGTGTCCCAAGCCAACATCTTTTTTCAAATTCACCTACAACCACTCCATCATCAAGTCTATTATCAACACTACTTTTAGTTGTGATATGATGCAAACATTCACAGGCGTATTTCATCAATACTACGAGTCTGGTTTTATCATCAGACATAATAAAAAGGCTAAATATGTGCTTGTTACACAAATTATAAAAATTTCACTGAAAACAACCTGTATTGGCTCAAAGCAATACCAATCGAAGGCGCAGTCATCTTGGATTCATAAAAATTACCCCAATGAAGTTCAATTTGAAAACGATCGGTAAGACCATCTGTTTGTATTCTACATGTCATTAATTCAACCATCATCAAAGCCTGTCACCAAGGGATATGACCAGAAACTCAACAATTGTCTAATTTAGTAAGAAAAATGTTAAAGGAATGAACCAATCATGAAGAAAACAGTATTTCTAACTTTAATTTTTACTTTCAGTCTTATTTATCAATTTATGTAACAACAAACATGGGTTTGCAAAAACTGCATCAAGTCAAGAAAACAGAATTTGTTGAGCCCATGAACTCATACGGCCCATTCTCTGTGTGTGTACTGCAGTGGAGATTCAGAGATCGCTGTCAAAATTGCTCACCCCTAGGAAAGGAATCCATAAACTTAAACTGCAATTTACTACACATTTTACAACCTCTGTGTCAGAGTTGAAATGAGAAATATTTTCTCCTGTCTATGTGTGAGTGAGTGAGTGAGTGAGTGAGTGAGTGAGTGAGTGAGTGAGTGAGTGAGTGAGAGACAGACAGAGAGAGAGACAGAGGCAGAGAGAGACAGACAGAGATTAGGTGACACACTAAGTACTTTCATGGGGTAAAAAAAAAACATGATTACCTTCTCTTTTAAAAGTGTCTCCTTAGCCTCCAATGCATCTCTTTTCTCTTGGTCCAGTTTCAACATCTGTGTATTCATGGCACTTCGTATCTGTGGGAGAAGACACACTGATCTATAGCTGTTCATTAACAAATCTGTAACTTATACAAGTACCATATTGATGTGTGCATGGGCTGCAGTATTTTTACCACATTTCGTTGATGTTAAAAAGGGTGCGGATTATATCTGAATATGGTTGCATGACCTTTACTGAGCGGGTTGACCCACCAAAAGTCACGAGGTGGGAAGCCACCAGGAATTCAACGTGTAGACTTTGGACAGATATGACATGTTAGCTGGACAGAGATAGAACGTTAGAGTTAGGGTAATACTTTAGAGACTGCATAGATTATTTACAGTGTTATGTTATAGTAGGATAGCTTCTTTGTGCTGTGCAGTTTAATGGTAAAAGGTGTTGTGTTGTTTCACAATACGTAAGTATTGTATACTTTACGTTAGTATATTTGTTGCAGTGTGAAGTGGTGTTAACCGCTTTTGATCAGTTGAATCGGTAGATGCATGTTTTTTGAGTTAATATCTAGCCTTGTCACGCTGACCCTGCGCTCGACAGAAGCTCTGACATCTTGGTGAGTTCAGGTGACAAGGTGCATGAACAACCCCTGCAGAGCTGTGGTTTGTGCACCTGGGATTGCCTGTGGTAACGGACTGGAGAGCAAGTGATTGTAAAGTTCGCTCGGCCAGGGTTCCAGGTAACAGGTGGCCATACAGCGTGAAGTAAACTGTCCGTTGTAATATCTGTACTTACATTAAAGATTGTCATGTGTGCTCTGTGTGCATTCGATTTCAGTGTATGTCAGGTGTTTAGATTGTCTGTCTCAGTCCCACTCACGAGCCACGTACCATTAAGGTCACCCAGAGGATTGTGACAACTTATTATATTGCATCATCTTCGGTGCCGTCCATCGAGTTTGAACTAGAGAAGACTTTGAAACTCCATTGTTGTCGGCTGCTGAAAAAGGAGGTCATTTCGTGCCATAAAGCACCTTGATCAGCCATAACTGACTTCAAATTCACTCTGAGGAACTCCCATGACAAATGAGAGTTGACGTACTTCAGCCTGTAACATTTTTATGGACACAGAAGATCCATTCGCCCGTATTTTCTTGACATATTCCTATTCTAGCTGACTGGTTTCTTCTTCTGGGTATTTCACCTTCTTGCCATTGAAAAAAAAAAAGATTGTTGACTTTGGAATGCTTTTTCAAGAGCATCTTTCATTCCAATTCATCTTCCCACATTTTTCTCATCCATATCAAACTTCCTCTCAGCTGCTTGGTTTCCATTTTCTTGCACATTATGCACTATTTGCAACTTAGATTTAAAATAGTAACTCATTCTACGCAGGACATCTTTCACTGGTTACAGGTACTACTGTTCCAGCTTTATTCTGTCAACAAAATTCTAATAAAATGATTTTGTCCTTAAATAACTGTCTCAGAAACTGGGTGTGGCCTATACACCCTTAAATATGGTATACCTTATGTGTGCACATCTATGTTAAAAATGCAAAACAAAAACGTATTAATTTCAATATTTTTGGGAGGAACAGACACAAAAAAGAAGAAATGTAAATATTCCACATATACAAAAAAGGAAATCTAAATACCTCACTTAGCTCTTCGAAAGAATTACTAAGCTCTGTCTCTCTGGTCTTTGCTAACTCAAGTTCTTCAGTTTTAATCTTGAGCTCTTCATTTCTTTGGTCAAGCTTCAGTGTCAGCTCTTCATTCCTTACTTCTATCTGTTGCAGTCTGTCCTCTGTGTTCTAGACATTGAATATGTTAAACAAAACATTATCACTCATAACTGAAACAATTTATTTATAACATAAACTTGCCTGTCCGTGTAATCTATATGTTAATGTTTCCATCTTTTCTCTGACCATATAGTAATCCATGTGGTTGTCTATACCTTTTTTCTAATCACACAAAAATATATCTTGCTATTCCTGTCTTTTTCTCTGACCACACAATAATATATCTTGCTATTCCTGTCTATTCTCTGATCACACAAAAATATATATTGCTGTTCCTGTCTATTCTCTGATCACACAATAATATATCTTGTTGTTCCTGTCTATTCTCTGACCACACAATAATATATCTTACTATTCCTGTCTTTTCTCTGACCACACAATAATATATCTTACTATTCCTGTCTATTCTCTGATCACACAATAATATATCTTGCTGTTCCTGTCTTTTCTCTGACCACCCAATAATATATCTTGCTATTCCTGTCTTTTCTCTGACCATACAATAATATATCTTGCTATTCCTGTCTATTCTCTGTCCACACAATAATAAATCTTACTATTCCTGTCTATTCTCTGACCACACAATAATATATCTTGCTATTCCTGTCTATTCTCTGACCACACAATAATATATCTTACTGTTCCTGTCTATTCTCTGACCACACAATAATATATCTTGCTATTCCTGTCTATTCTCTGACCACACAATAATATATCTTGCTATTCCTGTCTTTTCTCTGACTACACAATAATATATCTTGTTGTTCCTGTCAGAGAGGAATCTATGTTATTGTCTCTTCTCTGACTATACAGTAATCTATGCTGTCTCTTCTCTGACTATACAGTAATCTATGCTGTCTCTTCTCTGACTATACAGTAATCTATGCTGTCTCTTCTCTGACTATATAGTAATCTATGATGTCTCTTCTCTGACTGTACAGTAATCGACATTGTTGTTCCCGTCTCCTCTCTGATCATCTAGCTGATGCTGCATTTATTTATTCTTCTCCTTGCTGCATCAATCACATCATCTTCACATCTTTTTTAATCAAATGGTAGGTGGTGGAGAGCAAGAGTAGGGCCTGCTAAAGATGGACTTTTATACAAGGTCCGACAATTAAGTAATGAGACCGATTTTATTATGGCAAAGACAAAAATGCCATCTATGAAGCAAAGCATGGAATCTAAAGAGGGAGCATTCATTTATGATGTGGCAACTTTTCATCGCCAGTTGATAAGCAGAAAACAAATAAGCCGCTATTTTGCTGACCTAGTTAGAGGTGCACTGTTACGTAATCAGCACAGAGCATTGAAACAGTTGAATTGATGCAACAAGTTTATGGGAAAATTGTTTATCTCGTGCACAAATGTTCAGGTGGTGTGGAAATGATTACTAATGCACCTAGACATGGATGCCAAATTTCTGTTTGTAATGATGAACTCATTGCAAAAGGCAGAGAATCGATACAAGAAGAACATTGTTTCACTGTGAGGATGATGGCAGATGAATCTGGTGTTAATAGAGAGGCCATTCATAACTTTTTAACATCAGCGGGTTGAGTACCCAAGAGACATCATCAAAACAAGAACTTTGGGCCAAAAAAACAAGTGTGTGCTCTCAGCCTTCTCCCCAGACTTGTCTCTGTGTAATTACTTTCTATTCCCAAAAGTAAAGTTATGATTGAAAGGACACTTCTTTAACAATATTGATGACATCCAAAGGGCTGTAACATCAACTTTAAGGGCCATAACAACAGAAGAAGTACAGAGGTCATTCCAGTGTTAGCTAGATCGTGTCACTTGCTGTATCAATGCACAAGGGGCTTACTTTGAATCAGATACAGTTATCACTTTATTTTATGGAATTAGTCTCATGACTTAATTGTTGAACCTTGTTTAACCTGTAAATGGACAGTCACATTGCCCTACCTACCCCTGAAATGACACCTTGTTGTTTACTGAATGAGTTGCCCTAAGCAGTATAACCTTCAGCCAACAAGACACTAAACCTCCCTTCCCCAAGATACTAAACCTCCCTTCACCAAGGCACTAAACCTCCCTACACTAAGATACTAAACCTCCTTTGAGTAGGTGAATCTCAAACTTGGATAAACAGGAGTCTCACCGACAGATGACAGTAAGTAAAATAAAATAAAAAATAAAACAGTCAGTATAGAAACTTTTTCACGCTTGTGGGGATTCAGGCATATGGTGCTAAACCCATTTCTTTATAGACTAAGGTGCAGGAACTAAAGCAATGACTCAATAATTTTGGAAGAATTATAAAATGCAAATGAAATGATGACAGTAATGAGGACAAAGTATGCGGTGGTTGAGCTGATGTAAAACTGTTCACCTTCAACTTGGTACTGGTGTCTGCCAGATTTGTCTCTGCTACCTGCAGTGCTTCTGTTAACTTGTTCAATGAGGAATCTTTATCTTGGTTCTGTTGAGTGTTGGATGAAAGTTGTCAAGTCATTAATCAAAATATTATACACAAAAATCTATTTTGTGAAACAGAATATGTTGTATGTTATCCTTCTTGATCTTCTTTGCTGGCACTCAGTTCTCTGCTTTGATGCCTTTAATACCAGGATGACCATGTCTTCAACTGAAAATGGGACATCTCACTAACACTTTGAGCTTAAAATGGGCCATACTAAGCAAGGCAGCCGGTGTGAAAGGGTTAATTACTCACTTGACAATGGCATTAAAACCAGAACCATTATCGCCAATAAATAAACAAAAGAATATGCACTTTAACTGAACTAAAAAAGGCACACTACTATGAAGATTCCCATCAACACATTTCAGGAATTAAAAGTAAGTAAAACCATAAAATTGATCTACAAATCCTTCACAAAATTACCCATTTGTGGAAACAGATACAATAACCACAGCATGCCCATCAGAGAAAGCCAAGGCAAACTGCTTACCACAGAACACAAACAAAACATGCAATGGACTAAACACTTCTTTAACCTCTTGAACAGACCTGATCCTAAACATTCCCCAGATATTCAACCAGCTTCTCAGGACCTGGACATTATTATTAAACCACCAAGCAAACAAGAAATCTTTAAAGCTATCCGCACTTTGAAGAACAACAAAGCACCAGGCAAGGACGAACTGCCAGTAGAACTTCTCAAAGTAGATCCCAACACAACTGCTAGCATTCTAGAACCATTGTTCAAGGATATTTGGGAAAAAGAAGTGTTGCCTAAAGACTGGACTGAAGGAAGCAATAGTCCAAATCCCCAAAAAAGATTTAAGACTGTAATAACTGGAGGGGAATTACTCTACTCTCAGTACCAAGCACATTTACAAAAAAAATTATCATAATGCAGCTGGAAAAAAGAGTAAATAAATGCCTACGAGTGGAACAAGCGGGATTCAGAGAGGACAGAGGAACAGCTGAGCACATCTTTACCCTATGTAACATTTTAGAACAATTAATGGCCTAATGGCTGAACGCAGTTTCTGGGACCTCTCTCTGGGTGATCCTCATCCGCATGGTGGCACTTTGTGTCATCGGATGTTTATCGCTTGTGTGATGTCCTGGTGGGGTAGAATTTACTACTACTACTAAATCAGACCACTGCCTTTTTTGACATGCTTGTAAAGTGGCAGTGGTAAATCTACTCTTTTTCTTCTTCCTGTTCACTGGCTGTAAACTCCAGCAGAAAGTTCTGGTTGTTTGTCCAGTTCTGGACTAGTCCTGTCCCAGAACCTGAGTGTTGCAAGTAAATTCATTTTATAGATATGCTTATTTGTATGCCGACTGTTGGTTCCTTGTCTTTTAGGCACATGTACTCTTGACTTGGAAGGACGCTCCCAGGTAGTGGCTTCTTACAACATGGTTCTAGGGAGGCAGTGAGTCGACTCTTTGTCTTCCCCACAATGGGGCCCCGGAACCCACACAAGGAGCTATCTATTGGAATCTTGCGTTGAAGATATTTCAATATCCTGTCCTGATTTAACTTTATTTTAGCAGGATTCTGATCCGTCTTATGTTATCAAAATAATTTAACAATTCTTATTATGCTTACCAATATTTCTAGTCTTTTTTCTAGCCCTGACAGTCTGGATTCTAGTTCTTGTTTACTTGACTCAAGTGAGGATTTGCTATTTTCCAGTTCTGAGATCTGAGATAATAAAAAAAAAAAAAAATCATGTGAACAACTTAATACCACAGTTTAACACGTAATGATAAATATGAGGACAAATATATCTGTAATAAGTAACACACACAAATCAAGCTTTAGTAAATCAACCAAACAATCAAGTACCATCACCCCAGTTAAGACAGGCTAAAACAAGCCCAGTATCCTATGTTTTCATGGTGCATTAATACAGACTTCTTCCAAGCCTTCTTGTTATAATGTCCATTCATCTGTGGTGTTGTCTTTTAATTACAATTGAGGTCTTTGCACACCGGGCATCCCCATGCGTGCTCAGTCCTTTAATGCAGCAGCCACTCCAAGGTACCGCTACTGGTTATTCCCATAAGGAGTTAGTTATAGTATCTCCTGTCTTTACCTCGAAGATGACACAGACATGCTTCACCAAGCTTAACTCCTTGGTCATGCAGTCATGTTAGCATCAGAGATTCACTATTATCTTCCAAACTAGTCCATACAGCATTGATGATATCAGCTCTGTCCATGATTCTTCTTGTTTGCATTGGGGCATTACTTGCCAGCTGGACAGCTCTTTCATTAAGATTAACTTCTGCATGCCCAGATGTGTAGATCCAGATGATGGAGGGTAACTGCGACTTTCAAATGCTTTCTACCTATTCAGAGCGTAGACTCCCTACAGTGATTTTCTAAAGCATGTTTATAGAGTCTGAAACGATTATCACATGTGTGGTCGCTTGTTCTGCTACCCACACGAGTGCTCTGCAAGGAGCAGTTATCTCCATGGTTCATGCTTGACGTAGTTGTCTGGTAAACGCCGCTATCCTCTTTATTTGTTCCCCCCATCCTCTGTGCTCTGTATGCCCATGCTGATCTTGATCCACCCTTCATGGTCCCATCTGCATGAATAACGACGTCTTCTGGGCATGAATGATGATCAATCAGTGCCCTAATCTCCGCGTCTATGGTGGCAGGTATCTGACTCCTGCAGTATCTCCCGAGTGTTATGAGAACCTTAGGCAAGTCTTGCATGTCTACTGGTGTATCCATTATTTACTGGATCAGATTTTCTGCCTTCGTCCATCCAAGAGGACCCTCTTTTGAGACACATCCCTTTTATTTCATTGACAGCGCTGTGTAGTGGATGGTTTGTCTTGCACTTCCCTTCTACCCTTCCTCAAACATATATTTTAACAAGGAACTACAAGTCCAAAGAATTTTTACTGTCCTACCTTGCCTTGATCTCATTCCATTTTTTCTCCTCTTCTCGCTTTTCTGTCTCTTTTCTTCTGCCATTTATCCCCCAATGGAGCATAGACCCCCATGACAAGTCACCCAATCCTTTGTTATAGTATAAAGTTCAGCCCATTTGTTTTTCTAACGTCACTTTCGAGTTTTATTATGTTTTTATTCCTTTAATTTTGTGGGTTCCATTGTAAGGATATTCTAGTAATATTGTCACTAGGTTTTCCCCACATGTATCTGGTTTTTGCAATCTTCTTTCTTCTCCTGTGCAAAACAGGAAGACTTCCACTGCGAATGTACATTATTATACTCAATAATTCCGGGAAGGCTAACCCTGTCAACAAATGCCCACAGAAGTCAGATGTGTCAGCCAAAAGTGCAGCCATGCTGTAAATGGGCACAATGCAATTACATCTTCAGATGAACGCAGAAGAAAAATACTCAATCGTTTATAAAAATAAACAGATATAAAAAAATATTTAAAAAATACTTTATCATTTATAGATTACCAGATTTAATTGCCCTGCTTTGCCCGGGATAGTGAAAGAAAGTTTCATTCTCATCTTGGTCTCCATTGCTGCCGTATATATAGCAGAAACTCCACGGAGGAGCAAGCATAATACGAGCCTTCCGTTTTAAAGTTTCTCTTGGATGCCCTTGTTTCCTAAACCTGCCACTGTCCCATTTCAGTGTAAGTCTGTTGATTATCTGAATTTTCTGTAGACTCTTCTAACACCACTATTTTACAGAATATGTTTCAACAGAGATAACAATCAAGGGTTTAAAAAAAAATTCAGGCAACCAATGTAAGAGGGAAAAATATTTAAAGTGACATAACTTAAACAACAGTTTACTTTTACTGATTGTAACAATAAATAAAGAAATTTACAATGACCATGGCTGCCAATATGACTGTTAAATTAAACATTATAGTCTTAATGGCAAATGAAAATTTAACCTATGTATTGGTCACAGTTTGGGAGGAGTTTAAACTTCATTTATAATGAACACACAAAATACAGAAAGGGTTTGCGATTTATAGCATAGATTATGATTTAACCAGTCAAAGAAGAAAATATGCAATTACTCATATACAAATAAATCTCCATTATGTATCTAGATTTATACCTTTTCATTCAGATCTTGAATTGATTTAATCTTTTCTTCTAAAATTGCCTGCAAAATAAATACATTTAAAAGCCATTATTTATCTCCACACACATACACACACAAAAAAAACCAACATATTTGTAACTACAATTACAAATACAACAATTCATCAAACATAATCCCTGATAGTTCTTCTGTCTCTTCTTCTTTATTCTTATTTTAAGTAACATACATCATACCTAGTTAACTACTTCAGAGAAGGTTCAATTTCTATTTTTACTGAAACTAATGGACTCTATTCACCTTTGGTAGGTTTACTTAAGTAACATTAGTCTCTATTCTAATTCACAGAAAGAATCAAAATAAGGTGACTGCAATTCTTTGTCTGTCTTTTGTAATTGGACCTATAAAGATGTATACTTTATGTTTTTCCAATCTTCTCTAGACTTCCACAGAAAGAACCCATTTTTTTTCATTTGTTTAGGAATTCTTTATCCTTTTTTTTTCAAAAGAATGACAATACCTGCAATGCCTCTCTGACTGGTTCTAGTCACATGCAGACTTCACACGTACGCATCACCACATGTCACAACACCAACACTGCCAACCAACAGCTGATGAACTATGTCAATGTTTATTCAGTTATACAATCTCCTCTAGTTCATCCTGTAGTAACAGTCCAGGGGTCATAACTCTATAGCAGATTACGGCACATGTAGTTCTAGGAAACCTTTATCTTGTTTTATATTTATAATAAGGAAAAAAAAAAGGTAAAGTCGGGAGATGTGAGCCAGTGTCAATGCATACAGTTATAAACCATAAGTGCTCTGCCACCAGTATGGACAGCCGATAAGAAACTTTCCACCTGTGTCGCCGTCCACATTTACTCTCCAGAGTGTTAACTCTGGTACCCATTACCTAGACGCTGGGTGAACCCAGGAACCACCTGGTCGAACACTGTCTGTGTGCTGCAGCGAGTCGCAGCTGAATTTGAAAGCGAGTCTCCTATCGACTGCGCAAACGCAGCCACCCCAATGGATTGTTTTAAAGAAAATCCACATACATATTCTTACAGCCACACTAGATGTTCACAGTCTTACATACAGAATCTAAACAGAATCTGTCCACTTTTGACCAGATTTGTCAAATGAGACGATAGCCAACCATCTGCCTGAGAGGCCATGAGCCAACCATATGCCTGAGAGGCCATGAGCCAATCATCTGCCTGAGAGGCTATGAGCCAACCATCTGCCTGAGAGGCCATGAGCCAACCATATGCCTGAGAGGCTATGAGCCAACCATCTGCCTGAGAGGCCATGAGCCAATCATCTGCCTGAGAGGCCATGAGCCAACCATCTGCCTGAGAGGCCATGAGCCAACCATCTGCAAACAAAGAAGCCAGGTCTGTAAAATGGATGTGTTGCAAAACTCAGGTTCTGTAACAAGACTAAAGTTAACAACAGGATGAACAACCAGAACCTTCCACCGGAGTTAAGAGCTGGTGAACGTGAAGAGGAAGAAGAATTCGTTTACTGACAATATTATGCAGCAATGCACAAAGCCTACCTTCTCCTGACCCAACCGTTCTTTCAGGCTTTCTATCTCAGAACTCTGCAGCTGGGTTTTGTGCTTCAGATCTGTAACTTGGCTTACAAAGTTGACTTTCTCCTGTGTCAAGGAATTCCTTTCTTCCGTCAGAGAAGAAACCTGGTGGAAAAAAAAAATAATCTAAGATTTCAAGATTTATATTCAAATTTAACTGAAGATTCCTTATGAAAATAGACCTTTGGTGTGATGTAAATAAAAAGTGTTAAAAGTGAAGGATTTCAAGAAAATTGCTGAAGATAGTGGCAGCCAATGTGAAGTAATTTCTTTCTCCCATTTAAAAAACAAAAACCTGCAGAGATAAGTAACTTCTGTATCTATCAGAACAAAACCCAGATTATTCCTTCCTAATGTCAGACAACAACCTAGAGATATAAAATATTCTTTTCTCATATAGAAATGGAGAGATAAACTATAAACCTGAAAATATAAACCATTATTTCCTCACATATATTTTACTTCCTTTCTCATGTAAGAATAAACACAGAAGAAACAAACTGTTCCTCTATGAAGATTTACATTTATGTTTTCAAAGTGGGTGATATGGAGAAGCAGGGATTACTGTTATTAATAGGAATAAATGGTAATTTCCAAGAAAGCCCACACTCCAGTTTGCTCTAAGTATAACAAAATATATGCAAATAAAAGTGGTCAACCCTTTTAAACATGGAGGCAATATCACCACACATACGCTTTCATAATGTGCACACACCTTTCATCACAGCAGGTACACTCAGTGTGAGGATGAATACAGATGGGTAGAAGATGTTGGGGCTGGTCTGTACTGCAATTTAAAGATGGTGCAAGTAGGACATGAATGATATATCTATTGAAGTAGATCCATGGGAACAGGATGCCATGAATGTCGTATGAAAGGGGAAATAGGGAAAGGAATAGGGACAAAGGAGAAAAGGACTGCAAACAGGTTAACATCTCAGCACTTGAGAAAAAAACATACATGTGATGGCAACAATGGTCCTGAAACCCCAACACTCTTACTGCAGGAGATTCTTAACATAAGTGGGTCTTGCTGGTCAAAATCACCAAGGTTACAGGGTGTGGTTCTTATGTTCTACAGCACAACGGAACACTATCTTCTGAAAGACAGAAGAGTGCCAACAACACACATTATAACGTTGGCAGACACATCATGATGCACACACACACACAGACAATTACACATTACTAACCTGTCTCTGCAGTTCCTGCTTAGCCCCTTCAGCATTGCCTTTCTCTTTCTCTAACTGTGTAGTCAATGACAACAGCTGTGCACTGGAGCTTTCTTTGGTCTGAGAGTGAACAATTCAATGTGTTATCTTGAGTGTGTGTGTGCATGCATGTATGAGACAGGAGAAATATCCTCTGGTGCATGTGAGCATGTATGTATGTATGTATGTATGTATGTACGTATGTATGTATGTACGTATGTATGTATGAGACAGGAGAAATATCCTCTGTGTGTGTGTGTGTGCATGCGTGTATGTATGTATGTATGTATGTATGTATGTATGTATGTATGTATGTATGTATGTATGTATGTATGTATGTATGTATGTATGTATGTATGTATGTATGTATGAGACAGGAGAAATATCTTCTGGTGTGTGTGTGTGTGTATGTATGTATGAGCCAGGAGAAATATCGCTCTTCAGTGTGCTCTGTCCCATGTGCTGTATATTTCTCAAAAGTTGTTTTTAAATGCTGTTTCTTGCATGGTCTTCCCCTTGGTCTGTGTTCACTATATTTCTTCAACAATGCTCTCAGTAATAGTTGATACCAGTGACATTATTGCCAGATGGCCAAACCATTTCATCTGCTGTTTTTTTTAAATGTAGTAACTGATATCTTCAAATGACTGAAACACACTGTAAAATATAAAGACAGGCTGCCTACCACATCTCCCCCTCCCCTCTTTTCTGACCACCTTTCCTCTAAAACCAAATTGCCCAATAAAGTCATATTCTATTAAATTTATCAACGCTTACAATAGAAAACATTTTCTAACAATATAAATGTTTCAAGTCAAGAAGATCAATTTTGCTGTACCGGTTTTCATTCTATGGTTCAACTTCTCTCTTCCTATAAGAGCTAGCCGTCTGCAGAAGTGTCACACAAAACAATACCCAGGGATCTCCCTATAGATTAAACTTGTGAACTCAATGATGCCCTCCATGAAATGAACCCACTTCCTTCAGAACATGAGGTCAACTGCTCAACCACAAACACAACAATATGAAAGAGGTCACTGTTACCTGTATTAACTCTTCTTCAATTGCCGTCAAATCAGACTTTGCCTTTGAGAGCTCATTCTGAACAAGCTCCAGTTCTGCAACTTTTTCTGTGAGTTTCTTCTGCACATCTTCCAGGCTAGAACCCTGAAAGATGTCACAGACGATGTTGAACTACAAGAATTTCTTCACTGCATTCAAGGGCCACATTTACATGGTGAAATTATAAGAGACAACACTTTAAAAATCACACTGGACAGGGCAAGAGGTAGACAGTGATATGAGTGGGAGGACAACATCAAGAGATGGACAACCAGCAGTCTGACAGTTTACAACCAAGACAAGAGACAGAGTATGTGGGAGATCTATTGCAGTCTGCCTTCACTGTGGAGATGGCACCTGACTGACTGAATTAGCATGAAGGAGTCACATGAAGACACTCAAGGACAGAAGTAGTTAAACTAACACTTCAGATACAAGACATTTGTGATAGTAGAGAGCAGGAATGTCATATTATCTTTGGAAAGAGGAAAGGCAAGACGAACGTTTATTCAGAATGCTACTGGCACCATTAGTATCGGAACTCTTCACTGGTTGCTGAAGATGGGGATGAAGCGATTGTAGGAATGCCCTGAGTGCTTTGATGTCGGTTCTTGAATCAAATCAATCTTTGGAAAGACCGAGAAATGCACGGTGAATTGTTTGGTACTAAAAGAGTCAATGGCTAAGTTTGTTCTTTCTCTATTCCTTTGCTCCCTTATGTAGACCTACGGATGATTGGCTTAATTATTTTTTGTTCTTAAGTCTGTCCCACTTAGGTGCCTCTTACAACATGCAAGGTATGTTGCAGTGGTAGTATTTGATTTGGTACTGTTTTTTAATTTTATTATGGGCCCTGGCAACAAATGGGGTCAAACAAATAATATTTAAGAAATAAACACCTTGTACCTTCTCAGGGAGGGAGAAATGGAGAGGGGGGTGGGCTACCCATTTGTCTGATAGGCAAGGAATCAAGAGTCTGCATACAAATAAGCCAGATCTTTAAAATGGATGTGAATGCAAGATTCAGATTCTGGAAAAAAAGACTAAAGTGGTGGACGAACGCCTATAACTTTCTGCTAGTGAACGCTAAGAAGAAGAAGAAGAAGATATCAATAGTTATAAATCAGTCCCCTGTTATAACAAATTATTTTAACAAAAATTTATTTTTTTGTTTAGCCCCTTGGAATTTGTGTTCACAAAGTTTTACTATATAACACAATCGTCTGGAAAGATGGAAAGGTACCAAGAAACAAACCTTCTCAGATAACTTTTCTTGCAACTCTGCTTTCTCAGCCATGACAATTTCCAGTTTCTGTGAAAGATCACTTGTCTCTGATGCTCTTACTTTTCTCTCCTGAAAAAAACAATAAAATATGACTATCATCATTATAATGCCATTAAGTTCCCGGTGCACCCTAGGTTCTGACAGCTGTACTTTTTTTAGTTTTTTTCTAGGTTCTTCTCTCTTGATGGCCTTACTGGTCCAGTTTTTCATGACATATTTATTCTTCAATGTCAGTTGCATATCCTGGTCACAGCCTTGCAGACCAACCCCATAAACTATAGCTGTCCAGACTACTAGTACTTGAAAAAAAAAAAAAAAAAAATTAGATTTACTAGTAATTTTACATTCAGTAGTTTGCCACTGTTTTTTTTAACAGTTTGATGTTTAAGCCACTGTCAAAGTCAACACAAAAGGATGTGCAACCAAATCACCCGTAGCTGACTTTAAATTCAAGTGTGTCAGGATTGTAAAACTGTGTTCACTAAGCCACATACAATGCTTCAATCATTTATAAAACAGAAATTACACAATTATTCTACTGCTACAGATGTAAATATGTGTCGGCTGCATTCAGTTACCAATTCTCCGGCTCTGTTTATGGCAGTTTAAATTATGAGTTCATGTTGGGTTCTGGAGGCCCCATTTGGGGGGGGGGGGGGGGGGGGGGGAATAGACCCACAGCCACCCTTACAAGCCTGTCATAAAAGGCAAATAATTAGGGGTTCACTGGGCTGAAAGGTGCAGATATCACAGCCTAGCTATAAACCGCAACATAATGTGCTAATCACCCTTTTAAGGACGAAGGCAAACAAAAATAAGAAGACTGAATTAAAACACAGTGCTATCCTCTATGGGGGAAAAAAGGTGGGACATCTTGTCAAAAAAGATACTAACTCATTTTAATCACAAACAAAGACAATGTCCTAATAAAAACTTTATAGGAATGTAATAGAAAGGCATGAGTTAAACTGGACGGTAATATTAAAAGATATATAGTAAACAGGATGTCAGAATAAGAAGAACATGATATGATGGAAATGCACAGCATCTAACCTTTGATATTTAAAAAAAAATGCCCTCTCATCTGATGTAAAATAGTATCTTGTAGGAAAGCCATTCCAAAATTAACTTCCTACTGGTCGTAAAAATATATTATTTGCTGTTGTGACCACATGGCAAAAAACAATTTAAAAATTACAGATTTTCCACAGAATTTCCACATATTTCTAGGACTATGTGATAAATATGACAGAAAGGTCTGAATTCATACAACAGTGCTCAGAGAAATTGAAAGGAAAGAGGACTTTGGTGGCAGTGAATCCACATCACTCACCAGAATGGCAGACTTGGGAATTAAGACCGTCATAGCAAAAAACGAGACACACACCATACACATCAGAAGACTTGTTAATCAACATAAAACTGGTACTATTAGCCATCGGATGTTGGGGTTTTTACTGAGGGGAGGATCTGTGCACCTATGGACATGTCCCAAGTGCAATGATGATAACCCAACTAACTAACTAACTAGCTAGCACTTTCAACTATGACTTGGTCAACTGTTTTAATGAGCTCATTTGTCACATATAAATGTCACATTTGTCCACGCTCACCATGCACATCTTTATGCCCATCTCTGAAATTCCTGCACCAATCCCTCACAGAACTGTCACTCCTAACGTCATCATCGTACACATGACACAATCAATGATGAATCTCAGTGGCATTTTGAAGAAAACCAATCACACCACAAATTTTACAGCTGATAGGGAAAGCAAGAAATGTTTATTTGTTTGCGATTCCTGAACCACCAAACAAATGCAACTGTAGCTTGCCGTGTAGTGAATGACTCAAACAATGAACGGTGTCACTACAGCAAATGGTTTATTTTTACCAACCAATCAAAGGTTGTTTTTTGGAATAGCTCTTGTAATATATCAGCCGGTAAATAAAACAGGTTGTTGACTGTGTTCGTTACCTAAAAAAAATGCAAAGATAAAACCAACAAATCTGGGTCTTCCTCATTTTGACTTTATCTAAATAGCCACTCATGAAACTGAGATATGGAATATCTCATTTTAACCACACATGAAACTGAGATATGGAATATCTCATTTTAACCACACATGAAACTGAGATATGGAATAACTGACCACTTCTGTCTCCTGCTCTGCAGTCTTCAGGTTCTCTTTAGCGGCGAACAGATTCTGTGTCACTGACTCTACAGTTTCAGCCAGTTCTTGTTTCTCTTGCTCTAACTGTGCAAGTCTGGCTATCTGCATGAAGAAACACAACAACAACATAAATAATGTGACTTTACATGGACACCAGATCTTATTCATACAAGATCTTATGAGTTTATTTATTCAATGATTAGATCAACGACTGTATATGTTCTAAAATAATGTGTTTACAATTTGCAAGCTTCTTCATGGGTTCTCTGTTAATAAATGACAGTTTATACAGAGGTCTGATCCTTCTCCTTCCTTACTGACAATCCCCATACAATTTTGAAAATAATCTGGTATCCATTTATGAAGCTGGGTTGATCCTAGAGAAATACAGGTCAGGGACTGAACCTGCACCGCTGATAGAGTAACCAAGCAATCAGTAACAGTTAAAAGTTAGTTGCGTACCCTTTTACAGGATGCTGCAGAAGAAACCCCATCATTTCGTTGTTCGTGATCTACCTAGGGGATTTTATGTTTAGTAGTTTGTCACTGCTTTCTAATGCTCGGCTCTTGATACCACTGTGGAAAACAACGCATGGCGGTCTGCTGCCAAATCATCTGAACTGTGCACTTTGGAATTACAAACCGTGTTTGCAACCCCTAAGCCACAGTCGCCGGTAATTTCTCAAATCATCCTGTAAATTCTGTCATCAATCAACACAGACAATTCTAGAGTACAGCACTTTTTCCTATCAGACAAAAAAAGGTTAAAGGACACAGGATACCAGGAAAACCTCAGCACTCACTTTATCTTTCAGTTCTCTTTCCAATGAATTTGTCTTCTGGTTAGCTTGAGACAATTTCTCCTTCTGCTCATGAAGTTTGGATTCAAGCTGGGTGATCTTTTCCTTTTTTGCAGAAACATCACTGCTGGCCTGTACCAGAGAAATTACAATCAGCAGCTTTGAAAAAAGCATACAATTTTAAGTGGAGAGGATTGACTCCATTGGGTTTTACCCAATATGGCTCGGCCTTTAGCTGGCAGCCTGCTGAGAGCAAAATACAAAGCACAAACAGTTTGACCCCCCCCCCCCCCCCCTCCCCCTCCACCCTATCAGTAAAAAATGCATTTTAGAATTCATTAATAAAAGAGCGACCTAAATATTTTACATATGGCTCAGAAACAAAGGAATCGTATCAAAAACATCCGAAGGAGGCAGATAACACTCATTCAGCAAATAAGAGGACAGAACAATGGAAACAATGAAACAATTGATAGCATTTGTAAGAAAAAATAAAAGCGGAAAGCAGCAAAAGACTATTCTAGAAAGTCATGCATGTCATAAAGGTTATAATGTGAGCTCAGAAGTTCTGCTAAAGAACAAAACCAGAGAAGAATGATGCCTCATTTCAGTGGTATTGTCCTAATGTTTTTGAAACTAATTTCAGTGCACTCTGGAGAAATACTTTAGTGGTCAGACTTCTCAGACAAACACTAAAGAGGTGCAACCAAGGCTAATGTAAGCAAAAGGATAACACTGTTATCACTACCTAGATACCAGGGGAAATTACTTAAGTCCATGTCCACGTGAAAAAATCCCAGCCCTTACCAGGGATTGAAACCGGAACCTCTAGCACTTCAGGCAGACACCATGCCTCGAGACCACGCAGCCTCCTATGTAAAGTGTAAGAAGTTGAGAAGATTCGTTATTGTGCTTTACTATGTTTTCATAAAAACTCTGTAGCAATGACCTGACGAGATGCAGCCAAATATGCCCAGAAATAAATCATGCACATATTGTTTGCATTCTCATTATTAAAATGTGTTCTCTGGACAACAGAATCATTAAAACTAATGTCCTAAGTCTCACGATAGATGGTAGAGACGTCAACAGAGAGAGTAAACTGAAGTATTTGGGAATTACATTTGACAGGAGCCTGTCATTTAAGGACCATGTGGAGAGTGTTGTGACGAGATGCCAAAAAGGACTTAGTGCACTTAAGACTATGGCTGCAATTGACATAGAGAAGAGAATGCTTTTTACACTATATCAGCACCTGATTATGTCAGTGGTGGATTATGGCCTGGGACTGCTTACCATCTCAAAGAGTCAGATGGACAAACTAGAGCGCATACAGAACGCGGCTATGCGGGTCATTCTGGTTTGCACCAGAGACACCCCAGTGGTGTGTATGCGAAACATCCTTGGTTTGCCGACGGTTGCAGGTAGGCACAAGGTGATGCAGGTGAAGTCATATCTCAGGGTAGCTGCAGACACAGACCACCCTCTGCATGAAGCTCTAAGTGCAGTTAAGGGTCAGTGGCTGATAAGAGGGAGGTCATGGATGGCTCAGGAAGAAGACACAATCAGGCAGGTTTGCATCCTTGAGAACATTAGGCGAGGAGGGGAGTGGGTCAAAGTGCCACCTGAGCAGTCAGACTTGTGTAGAGTCATAATCACGCTGAGCCGGGAATGCAGAGACTGACCAGCAGGTACCACAAAGGTGGAAATTCAGCAATTAATTCAAGATAATGCTCGCTCAGAGGATTTGATCATTTACACAGACGGTTCAGTGTCAAGAGGCAAAAGAAGTGCTTGGGGATTTTTAGCAAAAGTTAATGGTCAACGTTTGGTGCATGAGAGCCTGGCATATGATACCACAACATTCAGCTTAAGAATGGAGGTGGAGGTGGTCACTGCAGCTTTCCGCTGGCTAGAGAACACGACACACACACACACATTGTAACTGTAACTGATTCAGAAAGCATGCTGAGGAAGATCAGAACAGGTATGCTTCAAGCAGAGTGGCATGCTTCGCTGCGGAGGACACGAGTGAGGGGTATTGTCTGGATTTTTTTTTTTTTCACCGGGTCACACCGGTGTGTTGGGAAATGAACAGGCGGACAGACTGGCTGGCTCTGCACAACTTGGTGGAATACTGCTACATGATAGGGCAGACGTGGTTAGTGCCTTGTGGGAGAGCATGTACAATGCGGAGGAGCAGATGGATCACCACAGTCTGGTGAGATTGATGCAGTTGGGGGTGACGAGAGGTTCTGGCAGAAGTTCAAGGCTCAGAGGAAAGGCAAGACGTTTAATCAGAAAGCTACTGGCACCATTAGTATCAGAACTCTTCACTGGCTGCTGAAGATGGGGACGGAGCGCTTATGGGAATGCCCCGAATGCTGTGATGTCGGTTCTTGAATCAAATCAAATCAAATCAAAATTAAAATCCCCCCAGAAAACTTTGTTTCGAGGTCACCAACACTCTGCATGATAACTGCTCTGCACACATGTCATTATATTTCTGTACAATGCTTTTCTTTACTAGCAGCTAATTTCACACAACGGGAGCCTCAGTAGCACAACAGCGAGACAGCTGGCTGTTGACCTGAACATCTTAGGTTTAAATCCGCACTGAGTCAGATTTGTTTTTAAAATGACTTTAGCTCAGAAGTCAAGCCAGCCTAAAATGGGTGGCAGGTAAAGTCCTGGAAAGTAAAGGCGGCTGGCATTATGCTGACCATGTTACCCATTCAGTGTTGAAAAAATCTATGTCTAGCTCCATATGCCTGATGCTCCAATAGTGTGAAAAGAGTTCTCTGTTTTACCTTTTTAACTTAACTCCAATTTCTGGAAGTCTCAAACAGTTGTTAGAATATGACAGAAACAGCAGGACAATAAGGTCAATAACTGAAAGTTAAACAGTTGGTTGTATAACCTTTACAAGATGTTACAGAACCAACCCCAGCATTTCTTGGCTGTTTTGGTTTTACTAAAAACATTTTACAATCAGTAGTTTGCCACTGCTTCTCAGTGGTCGGCTCTCAATACTCATGTTGAATTTAACGCAATTCGACATGCCGCAAAATCACCCGTGGCTGGATCGAACGGGGTATCTCGGAATTACAAAGCAGATTTGCAACCCCTAAGCAACAGACATAAGGAAGGAGGAAGTACAATAATTAAAAGTTGCAATAGACAGAGCAGTTGTGTTGAGTTCAGCCAAGAATTTACATCACAGCACTTTGGGCATTCCCATATGGGCTCCATCCCCATCTTTAGCAGCCAGCACAGAGTACCAGTACTTATTATACCTGTCATAATCTGGTTAAATGTCCGTCTCATCTTTTCTCTAGTGTAGTGAGCTGGCCAGACCCTCTGGTCACACCCAGGTGCATCATTCTCTGGAGGCCATTATAATTCAGTTTCTCTTCTGACTTCGTTACTTGTTCCCAAAGGGCCCTGACTACAACTAACTTGTCATGTATCAATTCCCCACCCAGTGGTGCAGATCCAGCCAATCTGTCTGCCTGTTCATTTCCCACTTGCCTGGCATGGCCTGGAGAGGAGATCCAAAGTATGCTCACTATCCGTCAATTTCCAACTTACCACTCTGCTCGAAGCATCCCTGTCTTCACCTTTCTCAGCATGATTTCAGAGTCTGTTACAATTACACCACATGTATGCATCTTGTTCTCCAGCCACCGGATAGCTGCAGTGACAGCCTTCACATCCATTCTCATGCTAGATGTTCTGGTATCATATGCTAGGCTGTCCTGCGTTAAAGATTTTTCACTGGCTTTTGCTACGAACCCCTAGGCACTTTATTTCCCTCTCAACACAGAACATTCTGTATAGATAATCAGATAATCTGGATGAGAATTGCTGTGAATCAACTGTTGGACTTCCATCTCCGTAGCCCCAGGCTGGCTACTCTCTACACTCCTGGCCTAATGTAAACAAAGCAATTACTTAATAGCAGCGTGTAACAAAGGTTTGACAGAGAAACTCTGGAGATATATTACCATCAACCTTTCATGAGAAGTCAGCAGGGGTTGAGGATTATAATTTACTAAAAGAATGCACTGACAAAAAGAGCACCCACTTGATCAAGCTGTGTTTTAGCAGTAGCTAGCTGAGCGTTGGTCTTCTCCAGTGTACTGCTGACTGTCTTGATGTGGTTTTCCAGGTCTACCCTCTGACTGGTCTTTGCTGCATCTGAAGCCAGCAGCAGTTCTGCCTGAAGACAGCATACAGATAACACACTTTGGTCTAAATCACTGGTTTCCAATTAGCAAAATCCTGCGGACCTCTCCTATTTTGTTAAAGATACACCAGACCCCTTTCTTTTTAACTGTAATTATGAAAAACTTTTTTATAAATATTACAACTGTCAAAAGAATTTGGTTCTTTATCAATATCCTACCCCGGATGACGTCACGGGACATTCCAAAATTTTAGAGGGTGGTAAGACCCGGTTTCCCCGCTGTCTGTGTTTTGTGTTGTCCAACTTTCTGTGTGTGTATAGGCAGGTTTTCTGGTGTGGATTTATGTCTGTGTGAAGGTGTTGCCAGACAAGAAGAGCAGCGTTGCTTTCCTACAACATCATGGGATTCTGCATTGTACAGACGCGTAGTGTTAGGGTTTAGGTTTCAGGTTAGGGTTAGTGCGTAGGGTTAGAGGTTCGGGTTTAGATTTTAGATTAGGCAACGTGTTCATGGCCATTCTGGTGGACATTAGTACAATCTAGCCACCAGAATAATAGTCTGTCGTCCCTGTTGCTGCCAGAAATGTTGCCGCACTCTGACAGTTCGCCAGATCTAGTAATACGTACAATTGTTCTGACTGTCAATTCGTGAAATCAGCAGGAAACAACTAGAATGACGTTGTCTGTTATTCATTGTTGTCAGCTGTTGGCGATATTGCATGTTCTATATTCCATAATGTAAGCACTTTTAACAACCACAAAACATCTAGAACTGGCCATAACCCCAACCCACCTACATCTCACGAGAGAGTGCAGCCTACATCCATTCGTGAACTCAGTGGCATGCATCTAAAATGATTGGCCCTTTTTAGGAAGCACAAACCTCCAAATTATTACATTAACCCCCCCTAATTATTATATTGTCTCATGACCTGTGGATTTCCCATGTTTGGGGTAGGATATTGGGAAAGAACCAAGATTTCTTCTTCACATTCACCAGCTGCAAACTGTGGTGAAATGTTATGATTGTTCATCCAGCTCTGGACTCCAGTCTTGCTCCAGGACCCGAGTTTTGTGTGTACATCCATTTTACAGATCTGGCTAATCTGTATGTGGACTGCTAGTTTCCCGCCTCCCAGGAAGATGCACTCTGACTTCAGAGGAAAGGCTTCTAATTAGTTGCCTTGTATGACATGCTTGTTAGGGGAACTGTGGATCTATTCTTTTTTATTTTGTTATAAACTAGTATACACTTTGCCCTCTGCTCAGATGTCTGCTTCAGGATTACATTTTACTCTCAACAAAGAGCTGCAGAAGTTGCAGGACAAAGACCTGAACCGACACAGGCTGTCAAGTGACAGGTTAGGAAAAATGCATTCATGGGAAAAAACAACTGACCTTAGTTTTCAATTCTGACTCCACTTCATGTAGTTTTTGTTCCACACTTTTCAGCTTGGCTACTTTCTCTCCTAGAGTGGTCTCCAGCTTGGATGTTTTGGCTTCAGCCTCTTGAAGAAGCCCTTTGACATCCCGAACCTGTTTATGTAGTGCTTCCTCTTTACTTGAATGTTCTACACTTCGACTCTGAAGTGTGGATTCTAATGCTGACAGTTTTTCTTGCAGTGAACTCTGAAAGATAACAGTCTAGTGTTAAGTATATACAACAAATTCAAAGTAAAGGATCTTTTCATACACCTTGAACTCCTTCGGTACCAGACAGCAGTTTCCTTAACACATTAACTCATAGTAGCTAACTGAAAATCAGACCAAGACATGACATATTATAAGACCTGTTTTGTATAGAGAGGCATGCTTCGCTGTGGAGGTCACGAGTGAGGAGCATTGTCTGGATCTTTTCTCTGGGGCATGCCAGTGTGTTGAGAAATGAACAGCCAGACAGACTGGCTGGCTCTGCACAACTAGGTGGAATACTGTCAGGGTTCATAGCCAAATTTACCAATCAATTTCAAGGCTTTTCAAGGGAGCATGGTCTCCTTACAATTCAGAGTTGTCTCGGTGGATACTGAAACAAGATGTTTGCCTTGTTCAAGGGTGTACTGAGCACACAAGGTACTTCATTTGTGCCACATGTGTTGGTATACTGGCACAGATATCATCATCATGTAGATTTCCTTTGTCCTGGCAAGAAACCTCGGTCTTCACCAGCTCTCCCGCCTTATGTACTTTTTTATACTCAAGCAGTCACTTATATCCTGGCCCATCTCGCGTTGGTCGGCCCCTGAGCTTGATATAGAGGTTTGAAAGTGCTTGGTGGAGAGGGCCGCAAACTGAAGTCCTGTCTAATTCTTGAATCAACTGGTACTCAAATCAGGTTAGGGGAGAGAGAGACTCTTCATTCGAGAGGGTTCATCAGTGTAAAATCCAGTGGAAAGTTCTGGTTTTTCATGGACAGATTCTGGGAGAAAGTCTTGTCTGCCGAAAGGAGGAAGGTTTGCAAACACATGGAGACAAATCTGGCTTGTGGGGAATGGACAGCTGGAAAGACAGAGAGGGAGACAACTACAGAAAAAGGAAACATCAGATACATTAGATCGGCAGATTAACTCCACCAAAACCGACGAAACTGATACTATGGAAGGAGGAAAATATGACAAACCGGTGTCCCTCAGGGAGTCAGAGGTAGAGAGAACGGACAGGGTGAAAAGCAGAGATGCAAGTCACAGAGGGAAGAAAAAATAACTAGCCAAAGGCAGAGTCAGGAGAATGGGAGGGAGGTATGCAAATTGCTGATGAAGGGAGGTGTTTGGACATAAACTTTGTGAGAGAGAGAGGTGGGTAAAAATTCTTCAAACACACATTAAGAGAGGAGCCAGGAAGGGAAGATACCTCAGAAAAACTTCGACACCTACTCCTCCTTCCCCCTAGGATTTTCACAATTTCAAGTGTAGGTGACACAGCCACTTTGGTTGATTTAGGGCAAAAAAATTCAGAGATTTCAGTAAAAAAATGGGGGGGGGGGGGAGAGAATGAAAGAGGGGAGCGGGTAAGGAAATCTAGAGTGAAAAGAAAAGACAGGATGGAGAGGAGACAAATAGAGATGGGACAGGAGAAAGGGCAATCGATAGGAAGAGAGGAAGAATGGAGAGAGAAAGGAGAATAGTAGAAGATCAAAGGAAAGAGAACTTTGAGAAACAAGGTAAGACACGGTTGTGGGGGTTGGGGGGGGGGGGGGGTGTAAGAACAATGAGTGCCAAAAATAGAATTAGGAAATCTTTATTTTTTCCGGTTCCTACCCTCTCCCAATGTGAATGTGGCTGTGATCCATAAAGAACAGTGCTAACCCCTACTGCCCTTGCTTGTCCTATCTGTGTGTGACATCAATAATTCAATTTCTTACACTTAAGGCTGGTGACCTGAGAGCCAAGGTCATTTTATGAAGAAAAAAAAAAAGTCCAGGGGATCCCAACCACCACTGGTGATGAATAAGAGCATGTTTACCCACACACATACATATAGGTCATACACACGATCAAATAGGTCAGGGCAGCAGTACATTTATTTCTGGTTTTCCACATTACAGAAAGGAGGGGAGCAAAGAGGTGGTGGAAAGTGGTGTAGAAGGCTGAGGTGGTAAGGGTGAGACAGAGGAGGTGAGAGAATAAAGTTTAAGAAAATAAAGTGGGAATGAGACAGGGAGAGTAAGAAGGGAGTACAGACATAAGAAACATACAGGAAGAAGGTAGCAGGAAGGGGTGGAGATCCCTCCCCTAGGTGTCATCAATGTGGGAGGAGAAAAAAAAAGGGAGGGGGTGACGGCAAATGTGTTTTTAAAAGTACACATATATTTAATGTGTGGGAGGGGGAATGGTGGACATGAAATGTACTCGCACTAGGCAACACATAACCTTCTACACCACACTGAAGGTATGGAGAAAGAAAGAGAGAGAGAGAGAGAGGGAGGGAGAGTGGCAAATACAAAGAGAAAGAGGAAAGCAGTGACACAGACAGGCAGATACAGGAACAGGCAGACAAAAAAACACATTAGGAAAAAAATGTGAGGGGGTGGAAGGGAGATGGACAGAGATTAAGGCCGCTACACAAACAAACACATCAAAAAGAAAATATCCACCATGTTCACACAGAATGCCCCCCCCCCACCCCAATACAACTTCCTGTGTACTTGAGTTGCTAGGAAGAGTTATGGAGCCGCACATTTACTAAACATTTAAACAAGAAATAAAATAGGAAAAAGGGGGAGGGGGGACAGGAAATGAGAGAGTAAAAGGAAAGATAGAGAGAAATAGAGAAGAAGAGAAGATCAGAAGGGAGGGTTAGAGACACAGACAGGAGACAGGAAGGAAGGAGACAATAGGTAGAAGAGTGAAAGAGGGAGGGAAGAGAGAGAGAGGGGTGAGACAACAGAAGAGGGAATCTCGGGGAATTACAATACTGATCGCCAAACACACTGTAAAGAAAAATCCAGGCCAAAAATAGAACTGGGAAATCCAGCTGCAGTCACTTTGCTTAGCCCCAATGCCATCTCTAATTAATAGAGAAGGCCGTGCTTAGCACCCACCACAGCGACTCTATTTATAAATACAACTGAACCGAGCCCCACCATCTCCCAGTGTAATCCTTTCTAAAAACCACGGCCATAAACGATTTATACTGTTCATTCTGCCGGACTTGCTAGAAACAAAGGCACGCACACACACGCGCGCCCGGCCCCATGCCACACCGCTGCTGTCTGCATGTATTCATGATCTGCAACAAAGCCCGGCCTCCCCTGGCCTTTAACAAGCCATTTCGGCTGAAAATAGCCAATAATCAGCTGCCCTCACACCTGAAACGACCATACAACGAAAGTAGCCAAAAACTAGCCAAATGGCCAAAAAAGCCAAATGGCTCCCCCAAAATTGCCTGTGCTGAAAAACACAGGATTTCTGACGATTTCATTGCCGCGGTCAAAATTCACGGCTTTTCAAGGTGTGAATGGTTTTTATAAGCTAAAAATCACGGTTCAAGGTCAACGAAAAAAATCCCGGTAATTTCCCGATTTCCCGGTCCACTACGAACCCTGACTGTTGTATGATAGGGCAGACATGGTCAAGGTCTCATAGGAGCAGGTGTACAATTCAGAGAAGCAAATGGATTATCATAGTGTGGTGAGAGTTAAGCAGTGAGGAGTCACAGGGCGATCTGGCCAATGCACGACGCTGAGAGGAAAGGCAAGATGGATGTATAATCAGACTGCTGCTGGCACCATTGGTATTTCTACAGTGTCTCCAAGTTTCATCTTATTCTAACCACTTGTTTGCATGTAACTAATATTTGTGTATATCATGTTGGTTTTTTTCATGTTGATGCCCAGGAGCTCAGGTCTGGTAGGGTTAAGACATGCTTTTTTGCCAGGCAGTCGGAGACATTTATTATCACTCCCCCCCCCCCCCCCCCCCCCCCCCCCCCCGGCATCTGTCTAAGACTGAAACATTACAAACAAAACTCAAAAGTGGGTTCACAATATAAAAGAAGTCAACTACTCACATTTTCATGTTTCATCTGATTAATAAGTTCGCTAGCTCCCTCCCCAGCCTCAATCTGCAAACAAATAATGAAAATAAATTAGAATTAAAAAAACAAACGTTTTATTCCTACAGTGGGTAAGTTACATGTTTGTCCACAAAGGGTGGTTGTGATATCTGTGTCTTTTGGCCACAAAGGGTGGTTGTGATATCTGTGTCTTTTGTCCACAAAGGGTGGTTGTGATATCTGTGTCTTTTGGCCACAAAGGTTGGTTGTGATATCTGTGTCTTTTCTCCACAAAGGGTGGTTGTGATATCTGTGTCTTTTGTCCACAAAGGGTGGTTGTGATATCTGTGTCTTTTGTCCATGAAGGGTGGTTGTGATATCTGTGTCTTTTGTCCACAAAGGGTGGTTGTGATATCTGTGTCTTTTGGCCCCAAAGGGTGGTTGTGATACCTGTGTCTTTCATCCACAAAGGGTGGTTTTGGTATCTGTGTCTTTTGTCCATGAAGGGTGGTTGTGATATCTGTATCTTTTGGCCACAAATGTTGGTTGTGATATCTGTGTCTTTCCTCCACAAAGGGTGGTTGTGATATCTGTGTCTTTTGTCCATGAAGGGTGGTTGTGATATCTGTGTCTTTTGTCCATGAAGGGTGGTTGTGATATCTGTGTCTTTTGTCCACAAAGGGTGGTTGTGATATCTGTGTCTTTTGTCCATGAAGGGTGGTTGTGATATCTATGTCTTTTGTCCACGAAGGGTGGTTGTGATATCTGTGTCTTTTGTCCACAAAGGGTGGTTGTGATATCTGTGTCTTTTGTCCACAAAGGGTGGTTGTGATATCTGTGTCTTGTGGCCACAAAGGGTGGTTGTGATATCTGTGTCTTTTGTCCACAAAGAGTGGTTGTGATATCTGTGTCTTTTGTCCACAAAGGGTGGTTGTGATATCTGTGTCTTTTGTCCACAAAGGGTGGTTGTGATATCTGTGTCTTTTGTCCACAAAGAGTGGTTGTGATATCTGTGTCTTTTGTCCACAAAGGGTGGTTGTGATATCTGTGTCTTTTGTCCACAAAGGGTGGTTGTGATATCTGTGTCTTTCATCCACAAAGAGTGGTTGTGATATCTGTGTCTTTTGTCCACAAAGGGTGGTTGTGATATCTGTGTCTTTTGTCCACAAAGGGTGGTTGTGATATCTTTGTCTTTTGTCCACAAAGGGTGGTTGATATCTGTGTCTTTTGTCTATGAAGAGTGGTTGTGATATCTGTGTCTTTTGTCCATGAAGGATGGTTGTGATATCTGTGAATTTTTAATTTGCATCTTCAAATCTCTATGTCTCTCCATCATTTTTACTGCCAATCATAATTGCATGATCCCACCTGTTGAAGTTAAGATTCACCAGAGGTGATTGGCTGAGTACTTAAATCGTTGAAGTATAAGTTACAGGCAGTGCTACAAGTGGGAAGATAATATAACAAATGAATTAGCAGTAATCAGTAAGAGTGCTGTTCTCCTTAGTAAGAGACTGAAAGTGTTAGGCATCCACTGCAGGTAACCTTCACTACAGAGATGACACCTCCTCTTCTTTCTTTTCTCTAGTTACTGTTTTGATTTTGGTGTCAGGTTTTGAAGATGCATCAGGTACAAGCCTTGGTGTGTGGTATACAAATGCTGGTATTCACGATCTAGGACATAGTATCTGTTAATTGCTTGCTTCATCAGCCTCTAACGCTGCTCCTGTTATGTCTAAGTGTCAAGGCAATTCACTGACTTAAAAACACAATGTGGAAGAAATAAAACTGAACACACACCTTGGCCACTAACTCTTGCCTCTCACCCTCCAGCCTCTGTTTCTCTTCAGACATGGATGTGATCCTTTTGTCAAACTCCTTCAATTTTTCCTCCCTGAAGAGGGGATAATAGAAGAGTTACACATTAATGACACATATATGAACCTGTGTTTTGTGCATGTCGCAATACCTGTTTATATGTAAGCACGTTGAGAGATATATATAAGTATGTATGTGTGTGTATATACTCACATTCACACGTATATAGTCAGATATATATCATCATTAAGTGCCTTGCTGACTATAGACAGATATATGCTATAATAAAACAACAGCCTGAGATCTAGTAACGCATTCTGCATAAACTCTTCCACAAAATCAAAGCAGTGTATCCTTATTGTGAATCTGAACACAGAAGACAAAAACAACAGATTGCATAATTTATTGCCTGGCATATTTCGTTGTATCTCGTCAGGTGCATATACAGTAACACCTGAATAAAATGAAGCAAATAGAAGAACACAGTTTCTTCTGAGTGTGACTGAACTTGTAATTAAGTTGAAAGATTCATTTATTTGCATCATAAAATTCAATTGTTATTGTAGTATGTGTGAGCCACCGTGGTGTGGTGGCTAGGCACCTGCCTGTGGGCTCGAAGGTTGTGGGTTCGAGTCCTGATGGAGCCAGACATTTTTCAAAAATGACCTTGGCTCTCAGGTCTACCCGACCTTGAGTGGGTACCAGATAATGTCCTGGGAAGTAAAGGTGGCCGGTGTGATACTGACCACAATACCCAATAAGTGCAAATTGGTCTATAAAGTAAAGGCCTAGCCTTAAATGCCTAATATCACTGAAGGAATGGAAAGGTTCAATTTTCCCTGTAGTATGCACTTGACTGGAAAAAGTGAAATATACCAGGAATAAAATGTGCAATTTATTGTTTGTATCCTTTTTTTTTGTTCAAATATACTCTTCCACTCATACAGGCATCCATCTAACACATATACTCACACATATTTTGTATCTTCTGTTATGGGGAAGAAATGGGGGGGGGGGAGGGTGGAGGGGTCAGGTTACATATTTTAAAGAGAGAGAGAGAGAGAGAGAGAGAAAGAGAGAGTGAAGGAGAGAGAGAGAGAGAGAGAGAGAGAGAGAGAGAGAGAGAGAGAGAGATAACAGTCCTAAAGTATTTTAAAGAACATTTTGATTTGCACTGGGTTAGTGGTTTGTGTTTTTGCCTGCACAAATTTGTGGTCAAAAGTCAATCACCGTCAGTGGTATGATCAGTAAGTCTCCGGGCAAAGCAGTCAAGCCGACTGCCTCAGGCCCTGAAGGCCAGCATGATGCTGACCACATCACACCATGGGTGCCCACTGGTCGGTACAGTACAGGTCTAGCCCTAGATGCTCAATATAAAGTGATGAAAAGGGTCCTGTACTTTTACCTGGAGGTCATGCGTTAATTTCATGTCTGTCATTCAGTTCACTAGTGCTGTTTTTAAGGGAGAACACTATGGATCATCGCCGGAAGCTATGGAGTTTGTACTTTGTGTGACGTTCTCGCCAGGTGGCTAGCTGTTTTGCAGAAAGAGACTGAGCCCTGTGGGATAAAACCCAGTGCAATGGTAGGATTATATTTCTGACCAGTACAGCTGACCCAGCTATGTAAAAACACTGGTACCAGGTAACTCATCATTATGTAGAAAATGTGGCGAGAAAATGACAAGTACAGCTCACTTCACTGTGCTCAATCAGTCAGTCAGTAGCATGTTCCTTGCAGAACTTTGCTCCCATAACAACCCTCCAGAAAACTTCTCGATCACAAGAAAGATGTCCTGCGTCTGATACACCCAACTGGAGATCATCCGCAACATCCTGCACTCATCATCTTTTTGACCATCTTCCTCTCTTCCCAGGCATATACCCCTCCACTACTGTTCTTTCTAAACTTTCATGACATTTCAAGTGAAACAAAGTATTTCAATTTTCTGTCTTTTATAGCCAACCTTTTTCAATATTCAGTTCTTGAAGTATGGATGCATTTGTTCTTTTCTTGACCCATGATATTCGTAGAACCCGTCTATGACATTTGTATTCAACGTCATTTATACGCTGTTCAGCTAGTTTAATAAGTGTCCAGGTCTCACAGGCGTATGGTGCAGTGGGAAAGATACATGATCTTAGATATCTAATTTTTGTAGTTCTGCCTGTCCCACTCAATTTATTAAGTTGTTTTAGTCTTTGAAGAGCAACTGATAATTGTTTCATTTCATTCATGGTGTCACCATTGTTGGAAATGAATGACCCAAGATAATAAAAAATGTTCCACAACCTCAAATCATTACTTATTAACATATATTTCTTTCTCCAAAGTAGTTTTATCTGTATGCATTATCTTTGTTTTTGCTATGTTAAGATATAAGCTGTGATTTTCACTTTCTCTTGGAGTTGGGGCTATTAAGTTTTCTGAACCAGTCTGTGATGTGGATAGCAATACTGTATCATCGGCAAATCAGATCTCTGGTATTTCATGACCACCGATATTTAGGGCATAATATTGCACTCTGGTTAAATCATCTCTGACATTTCTCATTTTATTTTCGGTGTAAAGGTTAAACAAATAGGGTGACAGCACACAGTCCTGATGGCTCCTTGCTTGATGTCAAACCAGTCTGATGTCTCGCCATCTATTCTAACCGCTGCTTGTTGGTCAAGATAGAGCATTGTTATGAGGTGTACTACATGTTCCTCACAATTTCCCAAAGTTTCTGATGTTGTACACAGTCAAATACCTTTGAATACTTCACAAAACATGAGAATAGGTTTAAATTAAATTCTCTGTACTTCTCTATTATTAAATGCATGTTGACAATGTGATCTCTTGTTCCACTTGCTTGTCTAAATCCAGCTTGAACCACGTTTATCTCTTCCTTATGCTATGTCCTGAATATGTCGGCTTTAGAAAATTATCTTCTCCGGGGTCTCATTTTAGGGGAAAAGAAAGAACAGAACCACTTCTCCTTAACAAGCAAGCTATGAAAGGCTGATTAAGGTTTTTGTCAAACAAGGTTTTGGGCTGAAATGTGCTGATATCACAATCAATCAGGTGCCATCTCCACAGTGAAGGCTGGCTGCAAAGCATCTCCAACATGCTCCATTTCTTGTCTTGGTTGTACACTCTCAGACAGCTGTTTGTTCATCTTTTGATGTTGTCCTCCCACTTGTATCATTGTCTACCTCTTACCTTCAACTCCCCCACCCCCCAATGTGATGGTAACCCCCGCTCCTTATTAGATATCATAGTCTGACTGTAAACCACAACACAATACACCTTACTCTTTTAAGGGTGGTGGCCCACATAGCTTATATGATGACATGACATGTAAACCTCTGCTGTATGACCAGCTATATCTTTCACATCAGGGGTAGGAGTTTGAGGAGTAGAGAAGAAGAAGAAAACAGAGATAGTAAACTCATCATCATACATTTGGCTCAACTTCCGAGCCTCCTCTTCCAGCTTGGAATCTCGTTCAATTACTTGACTTTTCAGCTCATCACAGGAACGCCTCTGTTGATAAATTAATGGAAACAAAAAGACGCTAGTATGTTTGTCTGTTTTTATTTGGCCTGCTTGAAATTTGTTTATTTTATATTATGAGGTCTAGCCATTTGTTTTGCTCTGTGAACTCTGTGGGTTTGTTTCATGGACACACTAATGTTCACGAGTGCAGTTTGTACGGATATCCCTGGGGATTGTTACTGGATCTACAGAGTATGTGCTTTGTTTGATGCTCTAGGCAGGCAGCCAGCTATTCTGAGGAGAGAGACAAAGCCATATGGGACAACCGGAGCAACTAAGTCGATCCTCTCGTGTTTATTACAAAATCCATCCTGTTAATGCGAAGTGCCATTTTAGCAGTTGCAAGACATTGGCATTATCATCCTAAGTTGCGCCGATAAACGTAAGCAGTCCTAGCTGGCAATCTCACACAATCACCAGTATTCAGGGCCTTAGATAATCCACATGTTCATTACTTGTACAGATGACCTCTAGCATTGCTGCTGTGACAGGAATTTTTGTGGTGCACTTTCCTGTGGTAGTCTTGATACACGTCTGAACCATCTGATTGGTCTGTCTTCTTGTTCTGCATTTGCTATGTGGTCACCCATACAGATATTCATCTCCCTGTCTTCCCCTTTCTCTTTTACTATCATATTTGCTAGGAGTTACAATACAAAATGTGTCATGGTTCACAGGTTAGAACTTTAAATAATCCCCTAGAATGACCAAGGATTAATGCCATGTCTAACAAAGTCCCAGGTGGACATTCTGATCCCTTGGTGACCCATGTCTTACCAAAGTCCCAGGTGGACATTCTGATCCCTTGGTGACCCATGTCTTACCAAAGTCCCAGGTGGACATTCTGATCCCTTGGTGACCCATGTCTTACCAAAGTCCCAGGTGGACATTCTGATCCCTTGGTGACCCATGTCTTACCAAAGTCCCAGGTGGACATTCTGATCCCTAGGTGACCCATGTCTTACCAAAGTCCCAGGTGGACATTCTGATCCCTTGGTGTGACCCATGTCTTACCAAAGTCCCAGGTGGACATTCTGATCCCTTGGTGACCCATGTCTTCAAAGTCCCAGGTGGAAGTCCCAGGTGACAATTCTGATCCCTTGGTGACCCATGTCTTACAAAGTCCCAGGTGGACATTCTGATCCCTTGCTGACCCATGTCTTACCAAAGTCCCAGGTGGACATTCTGATCCCTTGGTGACCCATGTCTTACCAAAGTCCCAGGTGGACATTCTGATCCCTAGGTGACCCATGTCTTTCAGACAACAGCAAACATGCAATGTGAACTCTTTATCTCCTCAAAGTCTTACATCCTGGACACATTTGTTAAAACAGAGATTGTGCTATCTTCAAATTTCCTCTTTTTCTTCAACATTTCAAGCCTTTGGTGTTCATTGCTGCAGATATTACCCCAACTGTCTGCATCTTTGATGGCCCAAAGATATGTTGTGAGACTTTGTTTAAAAAAAAAAATTTGTAATAAGGCTTTATTTCTTTTGATGGTGCTCCAATATCATATCAAACAATAATTGTGATCCCAGTGCGATACCATATTGAAGCCATGTAAATTTTTACTCAGTCAGTCAAAATCAGAATAATGCTAGGAATAAAGCCAGTTTACAGGTCATCAAAAAACACAAAATGAAGTGGTTTGGACACCTAACAAGAATGCCCTGGTACTATCTGCCACAACGAGCCATACTAAAACGTTACAACGGGTATAGAGCAAGTGGAAGACCTAGGAAAATATGGAGTGATGGCATTTAGAACAGTCTTATAGAAATGAACATCAGTCTTTAAAGTGCTCTTCACAGAGCTCATCAACGAATGTTACATTTCCCTCCGACACTTCAATGAGTTTCAAGGTGGAAGAAAAGAAGAAGAAGAAGTCAGGTGCCTCCCTTGATGGGTCGCAGGAACCCATTTGGGGAGGAGGGGCAGAAAAGACCCTTTCTCCTATTCCCCCCCCCCCCCAACAAGCATGTTGTAAAAAGCAACTAATTAGGGAATTGTTTTCCCTTGACAGTACATCTGCCTGAGAGGCAAGGAACCAGCAAAGAAGCCAGAATCTGTAAAATACATGATAAACTAGAGTTGTGGAACAAGACTAAAATTCAGAAGTGACTGAAAAACAAGAACTTTCTGATAGTTTACTGCTTAAAAATGCTAAGAAGAGGAATTGTGTGCCATCTCCACATTGAAAGCTGGCTACACTGGACCCTGAACACTCTCTTCTCTTGCCCAGGTTGTAGCAGCCTCTTTCAGACCGCTGTTTGTTTCTGATGATATCCTCTCACTTGCATTTTTGTCTGTCTACAACTTTTCTGACCAAAATGGTTTTTTATAACAGCGTTGTGTCTTTTAATATGGTTTAAATAGTTCAATAGATTGTTCTTTACTTCTTTTAACAACTCCAGAATGTCTGTACGTGACTATTTTGTTTGTTTCCATGAAATATGATCTATTTTTCTGGATGTTCACAGCTCCAATCTGACTCACCTATTTATCAGCAATATCCTATTCTGAACGGAATCTAGTCCAGCACATTTGGCCTCTCTCATCTTTGGGTTTCCTTTAGAAGTCTGAATTTCTATAATTCACTTGTTTTCCATTTAGTGTCTGTTTAGTGAATTTCTGCTCTTTTCTCCTCAGGATGTGCCCATATAATGCCATTTTATTTGTCTGAGAACTGTTGATACTAGTGGCTCTCCAGAGTTTTTTCTGATTTATTCACCTTTCTGGAATTCATTCCATTTATGACTTACTAATTCCTGTTGATTAGCCAGGTTCTGTGCCATATAGCTTAAATATGCACAGCTTAATGCATTGTTGATCTCTTAGACGTTAATATTATTAAAGCAGTGTTTCCCCATTGTGAATTTGAACAAAGAAGACACAAACAATAGACTGCACAATTTATTGCTTTATTGCCTGGCATATTTTGCTGTATCTTGTCAATTGTTACTGTAGAATGCACCTGACGAGATACAGTGAAATATGCCAGGCAATAAATTGTGCAGTTAATATTTTTGGCCATTATTCCTCAAATTGTTCATAGCTATTTCCCTTCTGTAATCAGGAATCATTACATATGAAAACTAAAATTGACGCTAACGTAAGAAAATCAAAAGGGTGCAAACAGATAGTTTAATAAGGATAATTCATTAAACACAAACCTGACAATTAGCATACCTCATCTTCAAACACTTTATTGGAAGTTGTGAGCTGATCTTGAAGATCAGAAATCTGGCTGGTTTTTGTGTCAAGGTCAGCCTGAAGCTAAAGAATACATGCTGACATTATAAACTTGAAACACTGATGTCCAAACTGAATAAGATTTCTGTTCACTAAACAAACTAATTCTTCTTCTCCCTCTGTGGTTTCCAGGGTCCCATTCCTGGTGGAGAAAGGAACAAAGCTACTGCTCCTTCATTAAGGAATTGCTGAAATTTGATGAGCCCAAAACACGACCCTATGGAAAACCACAATACAATGTGCCAAGTGCCCTTTTAAGGGAAAATGCAGAAGCTCTTCATCTTGTCTCTCCCTCACAATAAAACAAAAAACTGAACACCCCCCCCCCCCCCCCTCTCTAAGAAAGTGTGCTAGGTTTGGAATCAACAAGTAAGAGTGCTGACAACTCCACCTCTGTCAACTGTAACAACATATATGAGGTCTCCAGTGTTCCACATATCTACAGAAGATGTCTCCGCCATGGGGACCAAACAAATAACTCAGAAAGCATTTACTGACCTTTTCCATCTGGAATCTCAGTTCATTGAGCTGTTGGTCCTTCTGCAGCAGTACAGTCTGTGATGAGCTTTCAGAGTCCCCTAACATTTTGTGCAGGTCTTCAAGCTCAGTTACTTTGTTGTCCAGTGATTTTTTTACCTACAGAAAGGAAAAACAAAATATGAAAGCACTGCTGACATTTTGGGTTGCTTTAGTTCTCTGAAGCTACTACAATCCATCATTTGCACCCAATGCTGTGTTGACAAAAGCACAGAACAATGCTGACTACAGCGGGATGTGATAGCTTCTTCTGTGTTAACCATAAAAGGCGGCAGGCACAATAAGTGGTGGTTAAAGCCAGGCTGTTATATCGCATGTGATTTCGGCTAGCCCTTCATTAGTCATCTTTAAGAACAGGATTGTTGGAGGGGTGGAAAGGACAGGGGGAGGGGAGCATTGGGGATAATCCTTTTTCCCTTCCAAAATAAGGTTCTACAGCATGAACCACAGGGAGGATACAGTAGTGCAGGGCTATTCAACTGGCGGCCCACGGAGGCCTAGCAATTGGCCCGCTCAGTGAAATGTAGTTATTTAAAAAAAAAAAATCAATGTATTATGTACAAATCTTCAAAAACCAGTAGTGACGAATGTGTCAATAGGAAATGTTTATCAGGAATTTGTAAACATGGAGATACAATAGAATCCCAAGCAGCATAGGAACCGAAAATACCACACTGCGGGATATGTCTCATACATGGATCAAAGTTAGTTCAAATAGTTAGGAGAACTCGCCTGTTGGTGGGGGAGGTGGGGGGGAGCGGGGAGGTGGCAGTAAACGGTATGAAAGCAACCGCTCTACAAGACAGTCAATGAAGGTGAGATATTTATTGGACATATGAAAATACCAGCATGGCCCAGTTATTTAGCGTTTAGATTACCGAGAAACTTCCTAAATGGTTGCCACAGGTAGACGTAAACTAATGGCATTGGGTGATGGGGGCTGCAGGACAATAGTGTCCCTGGACACCGCAGAACACCTGCTAGTGTTTTTATTGTCAGATTATAATCAGATTTTCGTGAATTTCCATTCACACACAAGTCAAAATCTGACCATAGATTGCCGGACGCGATTGTATACTTAAAAAACTTAAACAGTAACAGTGTTTTTAATTATTTAAATTTTAATAATTTAGTTAATTATTTGATGCGATGGCTAGCACTACTGAAAGAGTAAAGTGATAATGTGAAAATTGTTTATTCAACAATGACTGGACAATGAAATATTTATTTCCAACATCGACTATGCCTAGTTCGAAACCAATGTGCTTGCTTTGCAATGAATGTGTGTGTGGGCAGTAAAGAACACAACGTGAAGCGGAAAACCGTATCCAGAAGATTTCACTGCTATGAGTATTGCTCTGACTTCAATCCAGCCAGATCATATAAAACTGGCTCTAAACCGCAAATGAAACTTTTCCCATTAACGATATTTTGCATTGTTGCAAACTATGAAGAGTTATTATTAATATGATAATGTCAACTGAAGTAGCAATGCTAACATGTATTTATAATAAGTTGGGATTGGGTATATTTCAATTAAAAGAGAGTATAAATTAATCCTTACAAAAGATTGAAGTACATTTGACATTATAATGGTTTATGTCACTGTTTCATTTATATTACCACAAGTTAGGCCATAAGGTTAGGAGTAACGTTTGAGTAACTGTGACAAACCCAAGGATAATTTCAGTCCGGCAAGAGTTAATTGCAAGTTTTAGTTAAAAGAATTGCGCACGTAAAATAAATATATTTAAACATAGACGCTAAAAGAATAAAAAGGTACAAAGGCGCACATAATTTATGACGTTTTGTGGTGTTACTAGGAGACCTAATTTCGTCACAACACAGAACGATTGCCAGCCATACCATCGGCCTAACACCCACAATAATAATACCATATACTATTTCAGGTGAGATTTATAATGGTAGGGAGTAGCTGAGATCCCCTATAAGCCTTGGCTGTATCCTAAAATATTTTATTGAGATCCTACTATTCTATATTCTACCATTGTATAAATATTCCGTAACTTCATCAACCTTGATACTTGTCCGTTGGACAATTCACTAGTCCTTACATATTATGACGTTCTTAAAGTTACTATTCCCCGTTAGGACTATTCAATAGCGAACCCTTCTTCCCTCTGTCACTCTTATATTCATTCGGTCTACTTGCGTAAAGATCTTATAGTAGAAACCGTGATCCTGTGCCATGTGGTATCATCAGTTGGGTATACATTATATTGTTTATGTCATTATATTATGCAATACATGATTTGAGTAAAAGTCGTCAGCTTTGTGGGCATATCGGGTTGGCCTATGTTTATAGACCAAGTGGTACCTAGGTGTTGATGTGGTCAACATCACACCTGCCGCCTTTACTTCCCATTACTATACCTGGTGTCCGTTAAGGCGAAGTCGACCTGGGTTTTGGGACTCGAACTAATAACTGTCCAATCCGCAGGCGAATGTGTGTCCGCTTAATTATGTCAAGTTTTATATGATCGTGCCATAATTTAGATAGGTATAAACCAACATATTATAATAGGGTGGAGATGTATAATTTTGATTTACTTGTAGGGAAAGACAACATATGAACCTTGTTCATTCTTGCTTACTACTCTGAAAAACACCAGAGACACCGCAACACCTCCACCTGCTCCAGATGTGTCGACATAATGCTCAACACAGGGCTGAATGATGTATTCCGCAGGTTCCCGTGTTACCGTAGTCCTGCCTGCCTGTTTACCAGAGGACCAAAATCCCGTGCTCCCGTATTCAAGTCTGCCTGTTTACCAGAGGACCATAATCCCGCATTCCCGTTTTACGCTATGCCTGTTACCTGTGGATTGTGAACCACCATCCCTGTTACCTGTGGATTGTGAACCACCATCCCTGTTACCTGTGGATCGTGAGCTGCCATTCCTGTTACCTTGTGAATTGGGAACCAGACGGTATAGAATGAACAACCGAGATCTCACAGATGAATGTCGCAGTTAGGCGAGGACTATAACAGTCGCAGCCAGAATCTTGTACATTCCTCCCAGAGAAGCTGCAGTTGGACACATCCCGTATATCGTAAAGCTGAGTGCTGAGTGTTACTGAATATTTGTATAAATTAATGTGGTGTCATGATGATACATTTATTTATTTTCTCTGTGTTAATTTGAAAATTGTTGAATTCAATATCAGTATTTTATCAATACAGTTGTGGTTTAGAAATTCCATTTATCGATTTCATCGTATCAAATTTACTTCTTAGGTAGACTAAAGATGGTTCATTGCAATTTATTGAGTTAAATTTACAAAGTTTTGACTTTGGTGGTTTTCTGAATTTCTTTAGGACATTTTCGGGGATTCACCCTATTCTTTAACTTTCTGTATTCTCCTTCCTCTATTTTCCAGAACTCAGGGACCGTTATAATTCCCCTAGACTTATTTAATTCGAGCCCTGTAAGTTAATTTGGAAGGATATAGGGGATCTCCAGGCGACGATAGATTCCGCCAAAAAATAGTTGATTACAGTAACACAGTGGATTTTTTAAATTGTATCTTGTGTGTGTGTGTAAACTTTCCACACTTGGGCTTCAGACAGTGGCCCGTGACGATCCCCATCTTCAATGTTTTGGCCCATGAGAAAACTTAATTGAAGAGCCCTGCAGTAGTATACTAAGTAGGGATCAAATACAGCAAAAGTCCCCTATCCCCTCCTTTAGGCATACTGGGTTTATAGGGTTAGACCTATATTATATAGACCAGTAAGCACTTGGTGGGTAATGTGGTCAGCATCAAATCGGCAGCTTTTACTTCCCAGGAGTTTACCTGATACCCATTTAAGGCTGGGTGAACTTGGGAGCCAAAGTCATTTAAACAAAAACAAAAAAATCCAGCACTGTTCGGGTTCACAGGTGAGCGACTAGCTGCTACACTATGGAAGCTCCACAAAGTGGGGATAATACAGCTAAATTAGAACCCTGCTAAGAAACCAGTATAAAGAACATATACCATCATCATCATCAACCTTCACTTTTGCTCTCAAGAGGAACAGTTTGTGGTCAATCACTCGATTCGTGGCCATTTTGTGTGGATGCACAATGTCTTTCTCCTTTCCGTCCAGCTCCTACCTGCTTCCAAATCATATAAAACATATACCAATTGTTAGAAAGAACCTGTGTGTATTTATTCTCTGGTCCCACCTGCCTCGTCAGTCTACTGACAAGACATAGAAGTGGCCGCTTTGAGATACTAAGCTAAGTGATTTTGTATATTTGTGTGGTATTGTTTTATTTATGTATGTGCTGATGAAGGCTCCATAGCCGCAAAATTCACATTTTGTTTGTGTGTCCATTATATTGTGAAGCTTGCTGATATACGTTCGGTTAAGAAAGAATCTGGTCTGCTGGGTCATCTAATATTGACTGGCACCCTTCTGTCTTTCCAGATGATAGTGTTATATTGCGCTATGAGGAGGCATGAGACTCTCAGCCTGTGACGATGGCAAGTGTGACTAGCAAGACCCGTCTGTGTCAAGAAAAGTCTTGCACAATTATAGCATGCTATGTCATCTAATAATAATATCTCACTATACGTTAATGATATGTAAACGGTTTTATTGTCTTTCCTTCTTACATAAAAACAATCAACAGTGGACCAAGCTGATACACTGAATGTCCCCAGAGAGGCAGAGCAATTCAACGAATCAAGTGATGACTATAACCTGGCAGCTTTGACTAGACTTCAAGAACTACAGGTCAGAAGGGGTGAAAAAACAGACAAAAGCACTCTAGTGGAGACAGAGAAATAGTGTTGTCAGTCACTTGATGTTGAGGTGCAAACTGAGGAGAGGATCCAAGCATTTACTGACTGAATGGTTGGACGTGTGGTGAGGATGATGATCTCTTAATTAACTAGCCCTAATCATACCATTTCAAGTTCACTTGTTAACTCTTCTACTGTCTCCTTGTATTTTTCTGCTTCATGCTGTGACTGACTTTTTAACTCCTCCTTTTCATCTAGTGCAGATTGCAAACTGGAAATCTGTAACAAATTTTCCTCCAGAGATTTTGAACTTTGTTCAAGTTTGTTCTGTACCTGAAACAATGGAAACGTGTAAAACCACATGCTGTTAAACTAATTCTGTTATATTCTGAAATGGTAATATCGTTTATTTCACAATATCAGACCTTCAGATGAGTAATGTATTTTTCCTGGTCACAGGCTGGATAGAATGCCAGACAACAGACAAAAAAAACTGTAAAAAAAAAAGAACTGAATGAGAGCAGACCATGAGGCTGACTGAGAAGACATTAGAGAGAGGCAGATCTACAAACATTTGGAGTCACCAACTGGAAAAAGAAGTCAATCAGAAAGATGAATGGAGGTGGTAAACAGGTTGCATCCTTTTTTTTCAATATACTTCATAAAGATAAAGCCCATGCAGAAAAAAAATATTTTAGGAGCAGCATTGCAAAAACTATGTCAGAAATTCAAAACAATGAAATACTGCAGATCCTACTTCACTGGAATATGCTTGGCAATAAAGAGGTTGATAAACTGGCAAAAGCAGACATTTGACTACATCAGCATGAATCTGACATAATCTATGATGAATCTAAGAGAATTCATAAGAGAAGCCAAGAGATTCATAAGAGAAGCCAACAGATTCATAAGAAACAGATACTCAACCAAATGGGAGCCTACAAATTTGTTTATGCCATTAAAGGTTAATACATGCCAACTGAACAGATGTGAGCAAGTGGAAATCTCTAAACAGAGAACACCATTAGTATCATGCAACAAGTCTTCTGCAGAACATCCAGCACCACTATTAAAATCTATAGTTAAGAATCTTGGTCTGTCCGAAGTTTCTCCAACATAATATGTCCATCCTTATGTTGGCAAAGATAGGCTGATCTTTTCTTCTGGGAACCTTGCTTTTCAATACTGTTCTTTCCTAAACCACTGAGGCCTTATTAAAGGCCAAAGTATTAGCATATGTCGGCGCCTGTGGCTTAGGCGTTACAAACGCATATGTCGGCGCCTGTGACTTAGGCGTTACAAACGCATATGTCGGCGCCTGTGACTTAGGCGTTACAAACGCATATGTCGGCGCCTGTGGCTTAGGCATTACAAATGCACTTTGTAATGCCGGGGTGCCAGGTTCGATCCTAGCTGCGGGCCTTGCATTGGTTTCGACAGTAGTATCGAGAAGCCAACTGTACAGAAAGCAATGGCAAACTACTGGACGTAAACTTGCCTAGGAAAACCATGACAGTCAACAAATGCTGGTGTTGGTTCTGCAACGTCCTGTAAAGGATACGCAACTAACTATTAGCATATGATACAACAGCCCAAAATTTTGTTTCTGAAATTGTTCTTTAAACTGTTTGAGAAGTTTTTGAAACTGCTTAGTTACTGCTGAAATAATTTTATAATTACAATGAAATACAGTTTGCACCTTTTTTTTTTAAATTCCCAAAACCCACTGATAGTTTTTACATATTCTACATATGCTGCCTTCTACTGAAGCATATTCAAAGCTTATTCTACCTGTTTGTTATTTTACATGCTCTTTTTGAGCCAAATAAAAATAGACATCTGCCTGAGAGGTCAGGAACCAACAGTCTGCATACAAATAAGCAGATTTGTAAAAATGGATGTGCATACAAAACTCAATCTCTGGAACAAGACCAGTCCAGAAGTGGACAGACAACCAAAATTTTCTGCCAGAGTTTATAGCGGGCAAATGTTAAGAAAAAGGCGAAGTAGAAGAAAAATAATAAGAAGAAGCATTTTCAGCTTTTTGACATGAATGTTAATGTTCTCTAACATTCTATGTCCAGTTCTCAATGTTTACCTTGCTTAATTCTGCCTGTGTTTTTTGTAAACTGTCCTGTGTGGTGTGCAATGTGTTTTCCAAATTGTTTTTCTCTTCATCCAATCGAGATACATCATCTTGTAGCTTGGCAATGATACCCTGCCTCTCATCTGAAGAGCTTGCCAGCTGATCTAGTTGTTCTTGAAGCTAGTCAAGAAGCATGAAAAAACAAGTGAACATATACAATTTGAACAAATTAACAACAAATGTAGTACAATAGTTAATGCACTCTCTACCAACTGTGGTCTTTCTATCTATCTACTTTTACCCCACCAGGACATCACACAGGCGATAAACACCTGATGACACAAAGTGCCACCATGCGGATGAGGATCACCGTGGAGAGGTCCCAGAAACCGCGTTCAGCCATTAGACCATATTTATGGCCGGGCTATATTGCGGCCCCTGGCAAGAGCCAGAGTGGGGCTTAAAATAACGAAAAATTGCATCCCACAAGGAAATGACGGGATACTGACCAACTGTGGTCTTTTACCCACCCATAAACGACTTTGGCCCAGACTAACAAAATAGTGTAAAATAAAGAAAGTGGGTGTGACCCAACAAGATACATTTGTACTCTAGTGCCGATTTGTCAATGAAACAAAATGAGTCCATCCCAAATGTGCCTCTTTGGTTTATCATGGAGTTACGATATTTGCACCTTTGTTGTTCTGACTAGAATATACATTTCCTATATGAATTGCCAGCTTTTCACAGCATTTCTTCTGTAGCTTCTATTAAAACACCCAAACACCATCATCATCATCAGTGCACCTTTGTTCTGATCAGAATATACATTTCCTATATGAATAGCCGGCTTTTCACAGCATTTCTTATGTAGCTTCTATTAAAACACCCAAACACCATTTTCATCATCAGGTGCCTTGCCGACTGGTGTGGGCGAACATGCCTCTACATAGTCTGCGATTTCCTGCAGCATGTATCAGTTCATGTGCCGACACACCTCCTTGCCATGCAACAAGACTGTCAAGCATCTTCTCTCGTTGTCTTCCTCTATCTCTCCTTTCACAGATCTTTCCAGTGGTCACAAAATGTTATATTTTCCCTCTTCTCATAACAAGGCCGAAAAATGATGACTGTCTCCTTCTGATGTCTGTGATAAGTTGTCTTCGGGCTCCCGCCTCTTTTAAAACCTCTTGGTTGCTCTTTTTGGCTGTCCAAGGTATTCTAAGCCTTCTTCTGTAAAACCACATCTCTGAGGTCTCTAGAAATTGTTTGGCCTGCCTACCGATTGTCCAGGATTCACAGCCATATTTTGAAACTGGATGTATGTAGCAAGCAAGAATTCTTTTTCTAACTCTCATTGACAAGAATATATTGCACTAGATATTTTTCATTTTATAAAACGCAAACACACAGCAATAATTTAATTTATGTATTCCCAACTGTAACAAAGGGGTCAATAAGTTATTTTGATTTTTTTAGTAGGATTGCAAAATGCAAAGCTTTTTTCATCTGTTCTTCTTTCTAGCATTCAGCTTTACTTACTTAGTCACTTTTCTTCTACCTTGGGGTGTATAGGTTTGCCAGAGTGATCACCAGACTTCTCTATCAGAAGTTTTCTTTTCAGCTTTGCTCCATTTGAGTCGTCTGTGAGTCAAGGACTTGTGAAGTTTTCCCAGCAAACCCTGGGTGGTCCTGATGGTCTGGTTCTCTGATTCTTGGCCTCCCATGTCTACCATGGTGGTTGATTCTCTGCTATTCTACATACATATCAAAACCATTGTAACTGTGACTGATCCATTCAAGTTTGTAAGGCCATGACATATTGTCTGAGTGCTAATTTGTCCCTTCACCTCATTTCTGAAGCCTGCAGTTGGCTTCTGTGAGCTGCTGTCATTGCCCATGACAGGTAGAACTAAAAACAGCCATTTTCGTCCTCTTGCGAATCAGGTGACAGGTCGACAAAATCCATCATCAGCAATTGCGTACCATATTCTAAATTCTGGGCACATTGTAAACAAGGATTATGCATTTCGAATTATTTACAATACAGTCAACCGTAGATTACTCCGATATGCGGAAGCGTCAGCGATCAGCCGGCTGAAACCAGAACTTTGTAGGCAGAAAGAAAAGGTCGTTACCTTTTGGTTACCTTGGTAAAACAGATAGTTCATGAATGTAGCCAAATTTGTGTTTCAGTTTCTAGGATTCAGCTATTTGCTTCATTTTAATCAAGTAGATTTGATTGAAGGTATGCCTCTGATTTAGCAACTGGAGCCACATTATCTACAAATGCCAGCTGTGATATACAGGCTGGTCTCATATTCCACTTACTGAGTACTTATCTTTCTCCTTTCAGGTCATGATGGCATCATCCATTAGAAAAATGAAGAGGTAAGGTGACAGACACTGTTAGTGTTTAGTGGTCTTAAATTTTTCTGACTTTTGGTTTCCTGCACTTACATAATTTCTACCATTTTTGTAGAAACTCTGTATTGCACTCAATGTTCTTCTATGCCAAGCAGTCCAGAGTTTGTCATAGAGAATCTTCTCAAATGCCTTTTCTAGATAGATGCATCTCACTCTTATATTCAAGGGCTTTTTCAATCATCTGAGTGTGAAGATAAGGTCTTGAGTACTTTAGTTTGCTCGGAAACTGCATTGGTTCTGCCATACTTCTGAGTCTCTGTTCAAAATTCTAGAGTAACTGTTACCAGGAACGCGGAGGAAGGATATGCCTCTGTAGGTTTTACATTGTCTGTTATCACTATGTTTGAACAGAAGAATAATGATGGCAATCTCCCACTCTTTTGGTATAGTCTTACTACATCATGCTGCCTAGAAAACCTTCAGAAAAAGTCCCTCTGTTGCTCCCATATATCTGACCACTTAGCATTCACTCGCAGTAAACTATGACAGGAAGTTTTGGTTCTTTGTCCACTTCTGGACTTTTGTTTTGTTCCAGAACTTGAGTTTTATGTACTCATCTTTTTCATAGATCGGGTTTATTTGCTGCTCACATGCAGACTGTTGGTTCCTTGCCTCTCAGGCAGATGTACCCTAATATCAAAGGAAACACCCCTAATTAGTCCTCTTTGACAACATGCTTGTTGTTCATGATTGTGATAATGGCAAGTTGAATAGTTTTACTTCTCATCTGGTCTGATAGGTTTTTCCGATATTGTTAGAGAGGCAGTTTGTTGTCTATTCCCCCCCCCCCCCTTATGGTCTGTCTGACGGGGTTATGGTCTGTCTAACAGGGTTATGGTCTGTCTAACAGGGTTATGGTCTGGCTGACAGAGTTATGGTCTGTCTGATGGGGTTATGGTCTGTCTGACAGGGTTATGGTCTGTCTGACAGGGTTACCATCCAATACCTTATTGCAAGCCATCTTAACCCTGATACCATGGATAGCAGTGAATTACAAAAAATTGTTAAAATTAAATGATTATATTTTAATTTGTACTTGTCAACAGAGCTTTCATCTAGGTTAACTCCTGTACATAACTGAAACATTCAAAGCAAACAAGACGGTAGTATATTACCAGTGGAAGACTCACCTTTTGCTTACTTTCCCTCAGCTCGGCCAAACTGTGGTTTAACTTGTCTACAAGAGCTTTCAGTTCCTCTTGGCTGGATTCCTTTTCAGCAAGAGAGGATTGCAGCCTATGAGAGAGAATTTGAAATTTTTTTTTTAAATATTATAGGCAAAATGTCATTAAAAAATAACTAAAGGCAAAATGTCATTCACATATAACTATAAGCAAAATGCTATTCATAGATCACTATAGGTAAATGTCATTTACATATAACTATAAGCTAAATTTCATTCGCATACAACTATAGGCAAAATATTATTCACTGATTACTATAGGCAAAATGTAATTTACATATAAATATGGGCTTAATGCCATTTACACATAACCATAGGCAAAATGTCATTCACATACAACTACAGGCAAAATTTGATTCATATACAACTATAGGCAAATGTCCTTTAAAGATCGCCAACGAAACATTAATTACAGAAGATAATTTAGACAAATCTAAAAATACCTGACAACTTCTTCTGATTTTGGCGCCTCTTGTAGTCTGGCTTGTAGCTCTCTTAATTCTGTCTCCTTTCTTTTATGTAGAAAAAGAAATGTTTAACAATATATATATATATATATATATAGGTATATATATATGGAGGAAGCTGATCTAACTGTCAACAGCAACAAGTGACCCAAGACACACAGTGTTATGGGATGACCAAACAATTCACAATACTTTTCATTAGCTGTTCTATTTCTACATGTTTGGTCTCTACTCAATACCCAGAATAAAGGTCAGACAAACATATGATCAAACTGCTATTAGCACCAATAGTACTAGAAATCAGTGATAGCTGCTGGAGATGAGGATGGAGCACACATGGCAACTTCCTGAGTGCTGTGATCTTGGATCTTAATTCAACTCATATTTATTAACAAACTCTCAGAGAGATGGAGCAGAACTGGAGGTCCAACAAATCATCTGATCTCATCTTGGTCCTCTTGAAACTTGTTGTATCAAGATGAAGTACAAACACTGGGACAGTGCTCTTGTCTGCTTCACATCTGGCTCTTCCATGGATTCTCTTATTCCCTCTGTCCATCATTTATATGGCCAGGCTCTTTCAAAGCCCAGTTTGTCTGTACATTACTCAGGAGGGATAGTAAGCAGAATGGAGTATGTAGGACTACAACCGCATGAATACTGTATTTGTCTGTGTATTCTTCTTCTTCTTCGCGTTCATCAGCTGTACACTCTGGCGAAAAGTTCTGGTTGATCGTCCACTACTGAACTGCAGTTCTGCTCCAGAACCTGAGGGTTACGTGTGCATCAGTTTTACAGATCTCATTCTCTTGAATACAGACTGTTAGTTCCTTGCCTCTCCGGCAGATGCACTCCGGCTTCAAAGGAAGCTCCCCAATTAGTCGACTCTTACGACATGCTTTTGGGGAGGCAGTGGGTCTATTCTTGTTTTCCCAACAATGGGGCCCCGGAACCCAGACGGGGAGGCAGTGGGTCTATTCTTGTTTTCCCCACAATGGGGCCTCGGAACCCACACGGGGGAGTGTCTGTGTATAAGATATGTTTTCATTTATTCGTTAAAGTTTAAAATTGGGGTTTATCTTATACTTGGAATGTGTTTAAGATATTTAATAATTCATAGCTAACAAAACAAAACACACACACAAATTATTTAAAAAAAAAAAAAACTAGTTGACAGAAAAATACAATTAAGATGTTTTAGTGGCTGCAATTACTGTGGTTCTAAAGCAGCTAGCTGATATGCAAAGTATTAAAACAATTACTGCTCCAAGAAGCATCTTCATTCTAGTGTATTCTTCTTCTTCTGCCTTCACACTAAAAAGGTGATTGGCACAATGTGATGTGGTTTACAGCTAGGATGCGATATTTGCACCTCTCGGCCCAACACATTTGATTAAAGCAAACTCCTGATTAGTCCCCTTTGATGACAGGTCCCCTGGAACCCAGATGGGCAGGATGTGTTCCAACGATGCCGAAAGATTTTCAAAAGAAAAGACACACACAGCATACACAGAGGTGCACAAACACACATCAATATACTACAAATTAACTACCAGGACACAACAGTTCTCTCTGGTACATACATCCCAAACTGCACTTTTAAACTGTTGTAATCCTTTTGCAATTCCTCTTTCTCTTTCTCTCTTTCCTGCGTCATTTTGTCCATCAGGGTTTGTACGGACACAAGCTCTTGTTTTAGTACAAAAACATCATCAGCTGCCGGTCTGAGAACACAATGGAGATATTTTAAAACTAACAATATTAAGGTACATTCAGTTCTAGGATTGAGCAAAGACGATGAGTAAGGTTATCAAGGTTATCAAGGTTATCAAGAAGTGACCTCTTCTTCTCGGTGTCCGCCTCCTGCAAACTCTGGTCAAAAGTTCTGGTTGTTCATCCACTCCTGGAGTTTGGGCTTGATCCAGAGCTTGAGTTTTATATGTACATCTGTTAGATCTGGCTTGTTTGTATGCAGGCTGTTGGTTCCCTGTCCCTCAGGCAGATGCACACTGACTTTGAAGGTGACACCCCTTTTCAGCTGCCTCCTATGACATGCTTGTTAGGGGAGCAGTGGGTCTATCCTTTATTCTCCACAACAGAGCCCTGGAACCCACATGGCAAAAGCACTGATCTTCTTCTTCTTTTCTACACTCCTGGAGTTGAGTTGAGTTGAGTTGAGTTGAGCCAAGAATTGACATCACAGCACTCTGGGCATTCCCATGTGTGCTCGTTCTCATTCTCTACTCCTGGAGTTGAGTTGAGTTGAGCCAAGAATTGACATCACAGCACTCTGGGCATTCCCATGTGTGCTCATTCTCATTCTCTACTCCTGGACCTGAGTTGAGCCAAGAATTGACATCACAGCACTCTGGGCATTCCCATGTGTGCTCGTTCTCATTCTCTACTCCTGGAATACCTCGCAGCGTCAGAGCAGGAAGAGATCTCTGGAACGAGCCCTTCTGTTCACTTCTTATAAAGTACTTTTCAGTGTCTCTGATATTTCTGCGCTACATCTTCTGCGTGGTCGACCTCTGGTTCTGTTACCACTGTATCTGTATAACATTGCTCTCTGTGGTGCCCTGTCTGGTACCAATCTTCTTACATGGCCAAAATATTTGATTTGTTGTCTACCTATAAAGTTCAGTATTGGTTCTGTGTCGACTCTCCTCCTGATATCATCGTTCCTAAGCAGTGATCTAGCATAGCTAAATTATTAGGATCTCATACAATCACAGGAAGAAATGACGACAAATTCAAAAAAAAAATTTTTTTTCAAGATTTAAAGTCAAGAGAATCCAAGTCATTGCCCTAAGATATTCCAGATAACCCAGTCTCTCTCAGCAAAATGACTGGCCACAGAGCATCACACAAAGCTTAAACTCCATAGCTCCTGTGACAATCCCCAGGGATCACTATAAAATATGTCCTTAATTGAATCTGAATAACACATCTGTGGAAAAACTCATGATCTTTAGAGTGTGATCAGTTCACCACAGAGATGCGCCCACCCCACTCCTTTTCTAGTACACTTAACTCTTTCAGTACCAGCCAACTCATAGTGCGTTCAATGGTTTATATTTATGTGGTGCACATTACAGCAATCCTCACAATGCGACCTTAGAAGACAAAATCAATGCGTGTTTACAGTGACGGTAAGGTAGACAATCCATTGTTTGTGTATGCTCATATAATAATAACATTCTTTCATATTTAATATTGTTTGAAATTAGGGTTAGGGTAAAGGGTTTAGGTTGGAATTAGTGCTTCGGTTAGTGTCAGCCCTTACTCTAACCCAAACCCAATTCTCAAATGATATTAAATATGAAAGAATATTATTATTATCATTATGTAAACTTCCATAAACAATGGATGATGTCCCCTGGAGTCAGCACTTAAGTAACATTAACATACAATATATTACGTCTCCTAGGGTCAATGTTGCAAGGTTTCTGCATATTTCTTTAAACTTTATGTCCCACACATCTGTAATGTTAACCTATTCAAATTCAATTATCACTATAACTTCTCTCTAAAGCTGTACTTTTCAATAAGGCTAAAAATGTTGCTATAAGGTACACAAGCTTTAAGATGGACAGTGCTGAATTATGAACTCCTTGAAACTGATAGAGTTAACTAAATGAAAAAAGTAAGACTCTTTTCTCACAATTGGTGCTTTAGGTATATGATACTAGCCTCTATATTTAAAAACATGGGGTGGCGGGGGTCCTCTCAGTTTAGTAAAATGAAGACTTGCTCTCACACTCTCTCTCTCTACTGCTGTTGTGTGACAGAGCCATCATTCTGACATTTAATCACTTTAGCTATATTTTTCATTTCAAGCTAGGAGCACACAAGACTGGTTTTTAAGAAGTGGGTGAAAACAGGAAAACAAGGCATGAAAACATTTGGAAAAATATGAGGACTGGCCACAATTGTTTCAAACACATTACTTCTTTCGCTTTCAAGCAACCTGTAAAATGCAACTAACTCTTTTATTTGAGATCTGATCATGAAGTGATCCTGTATTTCATACATCTGATTAACCCTTTCACCAACTTGAATCTTTTCAAAATAATGATCTTTTTACAAATTTTTTTTTTTTTTAATTCACCTTTTTAATTTTCTGAAACGCTACCTTGAAGAAAAAAAAAATAGAGGAAGAGAAGAAGAAACAGAAGAAATTTGGATCTTGGTCATTTAAACAAATAAAAAATCCAGAGGTTCAAAACCCGACACCCATAAGGAGACTGACAGGTGTGAAGTAGTACGAGAGTAGAGCCTCGCCACGCAATATTTCCACAGACAACAGTGGTACACCATAGCCAACCTTCACTGTGAGGACAGCACATAATTTTTTTTTAGTTAACTGCAACTATAAAAAAAAAGTAAATTTAACAATAAACAGTAAGTTAATTTATCAACTAATTTAAAAATTACCCTTTGAAGTAATTCTCAAATTAAACATAAAATTTGAACTAAAAAAACAAATGCTATTAATTAGACATAAAGCGTACTGAATAAACAGGAGAGAAAAAAGACAAAAAAGCAAGGTGGTAATACAAACACAGAATGCTGACAGAAAATCTAAACGATGCTTCCCAATGTCAATAAACAAAACCAAACAAAAACAGACATTAATTAATTTTTAGGAAAAAAAAAACAACCCATTAACAAAAACAACCAAATAATCAATTTTATGAAGACATCTTTGGTAACTGAAGAAGCTAGAATGTCCTAACACTGCAGAGGTAAACACTGTTAAGAGCTTTTAGTACACCAATGAAAAAAAAATTGAAACAATTTTAAGAACATACATCTTTCTTGCAAAAACACACATACGTGAATCATAGTCTCTTTACAATGCAGACAAATGAACATAAATGTTTCAGAAAAGAAGAAAAATACCGACATTTTACAAGACCGGAATAGTAAAGAAGACTGGCTAAAAAACAGAATTATATCTTGGAAAGTGAAATACACTGGCCAACTAGGCAAGTGGTTTAGAAAGTACAGACATGGGAAACATGGTCATTAAAGAAAAGGAATGTATCTCCTTCAAGCACATACATGAAAGGAGAGAAATGTATCTCCCTCAAGCACATACATGAAAGGAAAGGAATGTATCTCCTTCAAGCACATACATGAAAGGAGAGAAATGTATCTCCCTCAAGCACATACATGAAAGGAAAGGAATGTATCTCCTTCAAGCACATACATGAAAGGAGAGAAATGTATCTCCCTCAAGCACATACATGAAAGGAAAGGAATGTATCTCCCTCAAGCACATACATGAAAGGAAAGGAATGTATCTCCTTCAAGCACATACATGAAAGGAGAGGAATGTATCTCCTTCAAGCACATACATGAAAGGAGAGAAATGTATCTCCCTCATACACATACATGAAAGGAAAGAAATGTATCTCCCTCAAGCACATACATGAAAGAAGAGAAATGTATCTCCCTCAAGCACATATATGTGTTTGACTTTCTTGAAAGATGCCTAATGTTAGAAAATCTACATTAGACAAGATTTTACAGACAGCAAGAACATCAACAAGCTGAAGAAGCTACCTTGGGAAGTATTTAAACCTAGGAAATCTACATTAAAGCTAGATTTTATAGACAACAAGAACATGAACTAGATGAAAAAAACTGTCTTGGAAAATGTTTGAAACTGCCAATAACTGCCTTTATTACCACTTTTGCTGTGTAGGCAGGGGGGACTTTGAGCCTAAAGATGTACGGCCGCACGGCTAGTGCTGTCGCCACAACTGTGCAGGTGAGGATTTTATTTTGCCCCTGAAAAATCCCCAGCCTTACTGAGGATTCTAACCCGGGTCTCTCGCTTGAAAGCCCAGCGTTCCAACCGTTCAGCCAGACATTACTCTAAACAATGTTTAACATTAAAAATTTTTACAGATCCTTGACACTGACTAGTTGAAGGAACAAAAGCAGATCGGGACTGAAGCAGGATACGAAAAGAAAATATTTAAACAAACAGGGATGTTGAGATTCTATGAAGAAAAAACAAATAAGTGTGACCACATACAAACATGTATGCACACACATACGCAATTTTGTTTTCCTCCAAGACTGCAGTCCATGATAAACATCTCATGGATGAGAATCAGACAGGAGCACATCCCACAAACCCCTCCACCCATATAACAAAGTTATATAGGGGAACCCAATGGCTACAAAGTTAAACATGGTCAAATTTCTAGTTTATTTTCTTAAAAGGACAAGGGCCAGGCTACAAAGTGACTGGCACTCCAGTGTGGGTTGGTTTCGATACACAGCATTCATGTGCAGAGTGTCACTGAGACTTGAGGAAACAGTGAAAAACATATCAGCCTAAAACATACTTTATAACACTTAAGAAAACATTCAGATGCTAGAAATTGTAAGTAAAATAGTATGTCTTAGAAAACAAACATCATCATGTAGCAGGTCCTTTGCAGAACGTCACTCTCATCACAGTCTGCCTGAAAGAAACTCGGTCTCTTGCCAGTTCTCCCGCCTCATGAACTTTCACACTCAAGGAGTCACTTATATCCTGTGCCCATCTTCGTGTCGGTCGGCCCCTGTCCCTCCTTTCTGGTACCATGCCTTCTGCTATAATTTTTTCCAATCCGTCGTGGCGCTTGATATGACTAAAATATTTAAGCTTTCGAGAAAGGGTGGTGTTTATTAGCCAATTTTCCTTGATGTTTAGATCTTTTAA